TTTGCCTTACGACTGTGGTGTGACGATTGAAAGTATCCGAATTGTTAAACAAACTAGGGATCCCCGAAATAACGCAATTAAGGCCAAACAGAACTAAGTGATCACAAATGAATGTATTGTATTTGGATTTCAAAATCAGACAGTCGTCAAGTGCGAAAGAATCATTTGTTCATATAAACACCATATGTGGGTAAGATTCCATCAACAAATTGGGAGATTAATATGAATTCAAGCAGCTCAAAATTTCATAAGTTTTGAAAGACCCTAACCACATGCTGCTTAGATCAGTGAGGGAAACGGTTGGGAAGCAGCGACACATGTGGATGAAAGTAATTCTACAGGAATTACTTAGCAGATAGTTTAAATGGAACTGTAGTATTTAAAACGTTGATTTTGTTAGTCCATGTTAGGATCTGACACATCAGTGGGCAAATATCTATTTTGGTTTGATTTGGTCGTGCTAAGGACTCTGTTTGGTGTTTCACACATTGTGGTTAGTGTAATTTTTGATGGCACATCAACAATAGGTACGAAGCATTTTCACCTATAATCCTGAGCTTTTATATTACATCATACTGCTAAACTAATTTTCCTGGACGATCTACCGGAACTTGGGGTCCAAATTAATGTTTGCATTACGGCAGATTGATTTGTTCTGTTTTCGGAGTTTGGGAATAAGTGGGAGCTGAATCCACTTATCCTATCCTCGGCACCTGGTCGTAAGTGGGCCAACTCCGACAGTTGGTTTAGGAACCTCATCATGTTGACTCCATAACGCTAAGAAATCCTGATGCTGAAAAAATATAATTTGGTTCGTGCCCATTTCTTTATTATTCAGCAAAAAAAGATAATTTTTAAGGTCGAAGGCTGCAAACAGGACAAACGAGTTATCAGGTCACTTTCGTTGTGGTGTTTATTTAATGTATGATATTCTTTGTATTAAATTGACGTGAACTATGTTCAGGATGATACGGAACATGAGATTTTGTTTGGATTCTATATATGTGGCATTTTTCTCAGTGCTAATCAAGTGATTGAAAAAATCAATATATATGTGAGGGTATTTTTGACTAGGATAGTCGTATTTCGGAAAGGTAAAACTTCGATTGCATCAGTCTTTTGTGTTCTTGATTTAGGTTATGAGAACTGTTTTGGTTCCTCGTTCTGGGGTATAAGTACTAGGAAACGAGGATACAAACGAGAGTTTATTCGGGTCGATTGGGTGATCCGTGGCATTTCTAAGTTAAAAGTGATAAATTTTAATCATAAATACGTATTATAAACAAACAATATATTTGTAATATTCCAATTAGTAAAAAGATTAGAGTTGGTCATTTATTCTCTGAAGAATTGGTTTACACTGAGTCATAAAACGTCGTAAAATCTATTTTTTCCACTCACTGGTATAGTACAAATTCATTATTTATTTATAAATACTCATAATTACTAAATCGTTACAAAAGTGTTGAAAACTAACAAATGTTTAAAACGGTGTAATGAACACCGTCGTTAGCGTTGGGTTTGAGGAGACTTGGAGTTCTTCAATTCCCATTCTTGTCCGCTTAAGGATACCGAATTCAGCATATTGCGTGTCTAATACATATAACATACTAAGAAGAACTCTACAGAAGTTTACTTTTTCCACATCCGGTTGTTTTGATATACTTAGGGTGTAGCAGTGTTTATTCCTGACGGCAAGATCATTAAAGTTGGACATATAACTACTGTGAAGATTTATATTCGACAAGTAACACTTCGACAAAATTCAAAATGGTGAACGCGGGAACACAGAATCGAAATGACACGGCTCGGCCTTACAGCCATGGTCACTGTGTAATCTATTTCTTTTTATAATAAATATATTATTTTATTCCCTGCTCAAACTTGTTGTTCAGAAGTTCTGAACAACATATTGGTCATTGTCACGACAGGATGAGTCAGCATAGACCATGGTGTGATTCCCGCGTAATATCCTATAGATTGAGTAGTCAAGAAATGAAAAATCTACAAATTTAGGACTAGGTGTGTTATTCCAGTAGTCGTGATAACTGTACTAATGTCGACCTATACCGACCTATTTTGATTTTGTATGATAATTAATGCGATAGAAGTTTTAGTTATTTGTTATTCCTTATCCGAAATGCTAGTTATCTTATACACATATTATTAGAATACGTCGAAATTCCAAACTAGCACAAGAACTCCATATCACATAAACAAATCTCATTAGCGTTTGTTCTTTTTTCTGAGAACCTTCAGTTTCTAAAGCAAAAAACTGATCATATTATCTTTTTAATTGAATATCTGGAATAAATAGCATATAGCACTTTTCAACGGGATATGGTGCCGAAGTTTTGGAAGATTCGGAAACTAAATAAGTCATACCGAAAGTTCTGAACACATGAACAAGTCGCTAGGTGAAAAGTACAATAAAAATAGTTGTGACTACAATCAATGATTCAACGGTTGATTTCTCTGTATATTTTGTCGAGATAAATGGAAGATGTTTGATTACAAACATTGAAACAACATATATAAGCGACAAATACTGTTTTCGATTACATCCTCATCAGGCTTTACGATAATATACAGCACTATTTATATGAATATACGAAATTATTAAACCAATCAAAGCAGTTTGTGAGTCAATGATCACAGTGGAACAGATTACATAACTAAACATATTAAGTGAAAAGTACACGTTGGTAGTGTGATGACAAGCGTACTAGTTGCGACAAGAATAATAAAGGCTTGAATCAATTTTACATAATGGGAAATGAATCAATGATTAGAAGAATATAACCACTGAAACAACATTCATGAAAATTATGAAATTACATAATAAGAAATGTTCACATAATTGGACCATGAAGTGTATATTTCGGGAAAAAGTGGTAGAAGGGAGTGAGGAAATCTAATCGAAGAAAGAGTATGGAAAATAAAATCATTTATTGAGGCCAAGGGAGAGCTAAGGGTGTTATAAATTTCTTATGAACACAAAGACTTGGATATTGGATTGTGGATACGCTTTAATACAACTAGTACGCTACATTTAGTTTCTGGCAATTAGAAGTCTTGACATAAATATAACTCATTTGATTTCACTACGTAAAGTAAGGCTAGGATTAGTTCATCTTTTGTCTTTGGATAATTGTTATCCATTATATTGATATAAGCTAATTAAGAAGTATTTTGGTAACTTAGCCGTTGTTTTAATAGTTTTTATGTCAAATATCTACATTAAAAATTTATAAAGAGGAATAATTGTAGCCTTAAGTGCGTATAAACTCATAAAAATGCATAACGAGCAAAATGAAACTATCGTTATTAGAAAATATAGTAATTTTTATAGTGACAATAAAGTACAATATTTTAAAATATGGGGTTTTCCCCTGAAGTTTCTCTAGACTCTATGGCAAACTAAAAATTTTCATATAGCTCTGAAAAAAACCTAAAAGTTTCCCCGATATCCAGAATTTCGTCAAGATCTAGAGATTGGGTTCCTTGATTTTCGTGAGATTGTGAACATAACCTTATCTGTATTAAGTATGTTTTGTATGAACGTTTCATTATATAATATGTATAATTAGTAAGCGGCTATTAAACGTACCGTCGCATCAGACTAAAAGCAGTCGTTACTCCTTTTAGTTTGTTTGAACGTCAACAATTTAACATAATCATCCAGCGTCCCAACTATGTCTTAGGCAAGGAAAATTTTGAATTCTTCACCCACAGTGTAAGAACATACAGTAGTTAATCACTGCATGATTAATTTTAAGCTACCGAAAATTTCAATGAACCAGACTCAGTGAATATATTTCATCATTTCTTGGGAATGGTTACGTTTTATCGAAGTTTTATTCCTCGTTCAGCAATCTTGCGACCTTTGGTGAACACTTTAAAGGGACATATTAAAATTTTCATGTTGTTTTAAAGAGCCAAATGCACTTTCTCTTCCTCAATAGCAATAGCCGCAACAATAATGCTGCCTTGCATGACCTCAACAACCATTTAATGTGCCGACGCGTCACAAACATTAGCAGGCTTACTGCTTTGATGGAACGTTAACAATTAAATATGATAATTATCGTTTTTCTTAAGGCACTAGGTTCAGCCTGCATAATAGCTGACAAAATCGTATGCTCGAGCTCCGATTTTTCAGTGGCAAGTTTACCTGGGGCTAGGTGGCGAGGATGAGCTTTTACTACCTGTACTTTTGTAGTAATTTGATATAATACAGGGTGCCTTACACTATTCTAGTGGTACCTCGGCTTTGTATTCTCTGAATACTGGCGAGAAAAATAATCAAAACGTCCATTTATAGGGGAGTGTTTTCTTGATGCTCTTCATGCACAATAGTTCGAGAAAATTACTTCAGTCATTAGTTGAGTGCAGACGTTAATGGGCTTTCTAATTTTAACATCAGCTAACAAGTGGTCAGAAAGTCTGTTACCAAAATAGGATAAAGAACATCAATTACAATGAACATCCGACTAAAAAGACGTCTAATCCCGAGGTATGTAATTGTTCTCTGAAAGTTTTTATCATCTTTTTTTACTGCATTCATTGAATACTTGCCACTATTAATTACAGTTCATTTGACTAGTGTAACTAGAATTACACTGATTATTGCGCCCTTGTGCGCCAACAGGTGCGAACCTGAAATTTTATCTAGAATAAAGAAGGGGACTAGATAGTTGACTAGTAACAACCGTCACCATTACTACCTTAACACGTCGTTTCGTGTCATGCGGAAAGATTTGAAAATTTGCTTTGCATTCAGTAACACACCTTGTGACCTTTTTATTACACTTTATAGTAACACAGTTCGTCTTTAACGCTGGCTCTTACCATTCTGGTTTCGGGACCCAGAACGGCCTATTCTTGCCGATATGTTAGAAATAAACAGTCTCAAAATATCTAAATTTGACACTAGACTGGTGAAAGTTGTTATGAGTTGGATACAAAAACCTAGTAGCTATGCAGCTAGCGATGAAATTTTCGGTCTTGGCGCATCATTCAGCATGTCTAATATCGTTTAAATATGTGGTATGCTACTCGGTGTTTCCGAAATCCTATCTGCGCTGCTGGCGAAATTGTGTAAGTCTGACAGTTTGTCAAATAAACAGAATCTGCTGAGCTTAGTTTGGCAGTCTCTGCATTCATATCTGTTTTGGAAACCCATCAGCGTTGTAGGGATCAATCGATTACTTTACTTGGTGTACTAACTGGGACGGTGACCTGTCCCCTAACCCGTACTCAGTTAGTAACTTCTGTGACTGTTTTCGTCTAACTTGGTGGTATGTTGAATGGTCGTCTGCTTTAGCTCATCATATACCTCAGATAATGGAAAATTATTTGTGGGATCTGAAATTTTCGTGGCTACCTCTACAGATAATATTTCCAACGCAGCAGCTTATAAGTGGATATTCTGACGCTGAAGATGTACCTCAGAGTGTTTGAACCATGTTTCAGGGTTAATTCCACTAAACATACACCCATTCATGGGATTTAGTGCATTCATCTCTGGTGATATGTTAGGCCTGGCATACCCACAGGTGTGATTAATGTAACCAGGCTCCGACATATCCATAGTGAAGTATGCGAAAAATTATTACTAAGAGGGAAAATGATGTAGAATTGTCTATTCGTGGATTCAAAATCTTATTTTCAGAAAGCAATAGGGCTCATAAAAATTATAGTGGCCCAAACTGTAGAACTTAGTCAAAATGTATTAGCACATAAAAACCAATAGTTACATGCAAGTGACAAGACAGGGAGAATGAAATTCTAAAGAAAGATGCATAATGAACTGCCAAAATGGTTGACACTATTACTTGGAAGTCATTTCTGAGAAGAAACCAGAAATAGGATCCTTTCACTGGGTCGATGTTCATCTGTGTGCTTGGTGCATTTAACGATTAAGGAAAACGTCCTTTATCTACATTAATAATGGAGTATTAAGATCTTTTATGGCAAAATATCACATCTGGCATAAAGAAACTGATAGTTTTAATTTTTCCTTAGGTTGAAAGGCATCTACTCTCTATGTCTCATTTGAAACTTATAATTATCTGTAATGTTAATTAAATCAACTAAAAGTCAACATTACAGATATTGAGATCTTACAACTATGTTGTATAAAGAATTTTGAACAACTAATAACAATTTCTATTGTCTTTTAAGTTAATACAGAACTCGCAGATGAGGATCTCAGCTGCAAAGTTTGCTTAAGATATATCACTGGATGTGATAGAATGAAGTTATTTTGCTAAAGATAGGACATTGAGTGATCAAAATTGCCATTTATAGGAGAGTGTTTGTCTTGATGCTATTTGTGCTCAGTAGTCCGAAAAATTACTCCAGTTACTGTCACGGAAGTCTTACTCACTGTCTTCTCGCGGACGGAGTGTTTTTAGCGAAATTAAGAGGGCGAAAAGCAAATGTCTGACATTTTAATCGCGTTGGTGGACACGGAAAGTCCACCTAGGGGAGTTGGTAAACCTTGATTCCAAACCAATGGTGCACATGGGCTCCATTATCCAGAGGAACAAATGGCGTATGAATGAATCGTTGGTCACCGGCTATCATGGGACTGAATCTCCTTACGTTGCCCCACTACCTTGTGGACCAGATCTTTAGGTCAAAAGATCCGGGTGTGGTCCCATAAGGAAACCACTTGTCTCGATCTGGGCACTCAGGCAGTATCACAGTCCACACACAAATCAAGTGACTTGTGTGGCGCATATTTATTCGGTGCCCCTTTGTACTGAGATTTGCGTTCAAATAAAAAAAAGCAGATTAAAATGACTACGTTATATCAATAAAAAATGAATCAAAATAAGTAGTGTCAATAATGAAGTTGATCATTTTTGTATGTCAACTAGCTTCAGTTATTATTCCTGGTTGTTTTCAGAGCTCTAAGGTTTTCATATAAAACTACGGACCTTATTGTGGTTTGTATTTTTGTGCACATTTTTGTCTTTCAAGATTATTCATTATTGGGTTGTCTATTTTATGTAGGGTTAACAATGAAGGTTGGATGTATTCAGGCTTACGGTAATCAGTTCAGAAAATCTTTATAAAATAATATTCAAGATGCTTCTATGCTTACTTATGATCGTATCGAAGCTTCCAATGTGATACAAATAGCTAAGGAACTTACAAACACAAAGCTACCGACAGATATTGAAGTAAGTAATAAATATAGTGTTAGGTATCTCAATCAATATTATTTCGTTTTTTTTGTTTTCAGGTGGAGTGGCTGTTAAAAGCAGTTTGCTTAATCGATTTAACCACATTAGCTGGTGATGACACACCTGCCAATGTACAAAGACTTTGTGTAAAAGCAGCTCATCCTCTAAGTGAATGCGTTTTGAATAAAATTGAAAATGCGTTCAGTATGAACCTACAAGATTTAAGTAACAATCTGTTTTAGATTTTAAAATTTCTAATCTCCTGTCGAATAGGAACAGCTGCTGTATGTGTTTACCCATATCAAGTTAAAACATGTGCAGAAACGTTTAAGAAATTAAAATTACCAAATTTTAACATTGCTTCTGGTAAATTTTAATTGGTCGATTTTTAAAAATCTTATCTTTAACTATGACAAATATAGTTGCTACTGGTTTTCCTACTGGACAGTATCCCCTAGAAACTCGGCTATTGGAAATTAAATCAGCTATAAATGATGGAGCGAATGAAATTGATGTGGTAATAAATAGAACATTAGCTTTACAAGGCGATTGGGAAGGTAATTAATAGTGTATGAATTCTCTTTACTATCCCATTCTTTTATTAAATTCAATGTCCATATAATTCATTCTACTTTCTTTACTGCATTCGTATATTAGTCTACTTTATGCATCATAGGATTTTATGAATTTTCTCGACAGTAGAAGGTGGGGATGAGTGTTTAATTCTACGACCGATTTTTGGTGTTCTGGGAGTTTAAGAAACTGACGAACATTGTGTATATCAGTTCACGGATTTTGAAGAAATGTACAGTGAAGAGTTGTATTAATCACTGATTACCATGATAATGCAACTTGACTTTGCTTTACTATATTGTCAATTAAACCATCAAGTCAAAGTCGCAAAGAAGGGTACACTTACGATGGAGTATTTTTTTGGTTTAGGTCAAAAGACAGTATTTCAACTTTTGGAAATTCTATTACTTCAATTGAAAATTTCACTGTTATCTCCTGTCACGAGCTCTGCCTCATTCCTGTCTTTCGTATCACATGCATTCTGTCAAACTCGACGAGATAATCTGTCGAGTAATCTCTGATTCTCCAGCTGGAGACGATCTGTGCTTAACTCTATTTCCAGTCCATATAACTATAGAACTCGGTTTGTACCAACTTACATTTCCTTCTCTCATTTTCCTAGTTGTGAACAATTTAGGCATTTGAATGGATAAGTTGATAATTTCTACTATATTTGAGTTTAAAAGGTAGTATTAGGTTTACACCTTACATATCTTCTAGCTCATATTTTATAGTCGTAGTTAAATGAATACTACTGATATATACCAAGAATTGGTGGTAAATAAACTTCATTTTGATCCACTATGCTGGGTGTATAATTTGAAAAGTTATCACGGAGTATCTTCCAAATATTCTCACATCTTTTGTTTTTGAATGAACTGTTATATTTCTGATATATTGTTGCACAAACAGTAATTGATTTCGTTTAAACTAGATTTTATTTTAATAATGATCACGATGATATTTTTAAAGCTATAGTTATTTAAAGTATCTTTTGCACTTCGAAAAACTGGTCAATTCTTCAAACAACCTGTTTATTAGATCTAATATGTGTAATTTCTTATTTGGTATTTTATGATTTGCAGTAAACATACTGAATAGTTGAGTATTTCAACTAAAGTGAATCAGCGAAAGTAAATTTCATTGGAAAATTAGCCGAGTTTATCATCCATCTTCGTTTGTGAATGTTTAATTATGGTATCAGCTTAGAACTTAGTCTTTACTTCAACAATCCATCTTGCTGCCATTGTCAGATTATCATGCTAGGTGTGTGTTAACTGGTCATACACACTTGACACATTGTTTGGTCTAAACAAAGCTTTATTAGATTTATGGAGCTTGACAAGTTGAGTGTAATTTTAATTTACAAACCAGTACACAATGCAACCGAAGTTAAAAAACAAAACTTTATTCCTTATTTGTTTATTATGATTTTCTTATTTCATTGATTATTAAAAGTCCGTGAAATCGTTCTCATATTCTAGGAGTTTATAATGAAGTATGTGCAATGCGTAAAGCTTGTGGTGATCAAGCACACTTAAAGACTATTCTTGCCACTGGTGAATTAAGCAGTTATGATAATGTTTATAAGGCTTCAATGGTTTGTATGTTAGCTGGAGCAGATTTTATTAAAACTTCTACTGGCAAAGAAACAGTCAATGCAACACTCCCAGTTTCATTGGTTATGGCTAGAGCTATTCAGGATTTCAAAGAAGTATATGGCATCAAGGTAAAGTTAGAAATTGTTCTGTTGGCATACCAAATATTTTTATGGATTTCACTTCGTTGAATTCAGTTAGTAGTCAATGGATGATTTTTTTGGTATAAACTGAATACTTAGTACCGAACTTCTTAGGATTACATTTACTGCTGTTATAAAACTTGCTAAAAGGTTATAAAGTAGTTATCTTCGCTAATAATCATCTTCATAGTGAATAAAGTATCTGATAGTGTTTGTATATTAGTAATGTTTTCTTTCCGACATCGGTTTCGCTATGTATATTTTCGGCGACAGTTTGTAGATCAAAGGACAGCAATTTCAATTATTGAGTTATGAATTCCATTTACACCTTAATTTAGGTAATCAAAGAATATCCACTAACTACTAACTCATTTACCACTTACAAATTCGCGTTCTCATGAGGGTTAGTAGTACGTGGTTTCCGAAACTGAGGTAGCTGGGTAGGGTTTGAAATTGCGACTTGGCGGCTGAACGTTGAACTTTTTAACTACTGAGGCACCAGTTATTTCTAGGTAATTAAATAGCGCTATGCACTAGACCTCACACAAAACATAGCTTAAAGCTAGTTGTTTGAATTTGTACTTGGTAAATGAGTTGAATTAAAGTCTAAAATATGCCTCATTGTGTTAAAGACAGAAGTTAAAAGGGAAATATCGTATGTTTTGTTTTTATTCTTCCTGACTATTTAACTTTAAGAGTAATATTTGAAATAGGTTCAGTTGGAAAACTGATATTTTTCATATGTAAGGACAAGAATTGGAGTTGAACTGTTCTGCAGTCCTCATGATTCATTCATATCAGTACCAACAATTCCAATTAGATTACACATTCTAAAGTCCAACTATTTCCTTTTTTCTAAGAAAAAAACACAAACTTCCTATTGTTGTCTTATCTAGACTTGCTAGATTACATCAAACTGTGAATCTTATAGAGATTTATTAATAAACTGACGGCTGGGTTATTTTTTATGCATGCCATATACCTCAAAATACTAAGCTGACGGTAGGCAGTAGAACTAGATTGTAGATAGAGTATAAAATGAGATCATGGTTCATAAAGTCAGTGTTTTATGATAAGATTTTAGCAAAGTTGTACAGATCCCCTGAATAAGATCTTTGTAATAACAAAATTGAGTGGCTTTTACCCTGAATTTTGTGACTTAGAATAATTCACAAAGGGGAACACAATCTTTGTCTTGACAAAACTATTATTTTTTTAAAACTTGATATCTTCTAGTTTGAAATTTTGAAGTCTGGGAGCTTAGATTTACGCTTGTTCATATAAGGTGATTTTACGTATTGACTTTCTATCTGAATAATGTATTTACTGAATGTTTTACACTACATATTTTCATACGTTAAATATGTTACGTCTAGAAAACTTGTTTATTACCGTGTTATGTTTTGCATGGAGGATTTTTCATTGACGCGTCGTGTATCGATAGTCCGGTCTATTTATTTTCCATAGATCCCATTCTTATGAAAAGAGTTCCTCGGTCGTTTGTTACCGAACCTTCACAAAATAACTCACTGATAATAATGATAATAGTAATATTGATCGAGATCATGAATCGACCAATGTTAGACCACCATTGAACACCTCGAAGCACCGGACGGTCCTAGTATGGGACTCCTCAGCAGTGCGCATGTATGATCTCGCGCGCGAACGATTAACCTCTAGACCCCTGAGCCGGCTATAAAGCAGTTACCTACTGAAGACAATGGCAGATGGTCGCGCAATTTCGTGGATTGGTTGGAGTTAGACATTAACACCGTTAGGTGCCAGCTCAACAGTCTAAGGGTTGAGCGTTCACGCGCGAGACCAAAGGTCCTGGGTTGCAGTTGGGTGTGCGGGATAGTGGATATGCACTGCGGAAGAGTCCCACACTAGGACGAAACGGTCGTTCAGTGCTTCCAGGTTTTCCGTGGTGGTTTAGCTTCAATTTATTGATGGACTCAACTATTAAAATTATAATATCCACAAAACCCCGTTTTGATAATGATTGAAATTAATCATTGACGCTAGTAAAACAATAATCTTTCTTACTAAGTAATACAGTTATATGATATTTATATATTGTAAGTAATATTTCGCCTGAATTGATGATATCAATATCAATGTGTAGAAACTTTTAAACACTTTAAATAAAAGTTAAATAATGTGTTTATCATTCAACAAGATTATCAATCACTGTTTGAGAAATAGTTTAAACTCTGTACATCAATTAAATGCATTAAGTACATTGATTAATTTAATAAATCAAATTCATTTTAGTGGATAGATAATATAAATCGCCACTAATAATATGTCGCCAGATAATATAAATTGCCCAAATATTACGTATTGCCATAGGACTACACGAAATTCTACCGATTGACCAAATTCAGATATCCTAGTTCGACCCCAATACTGTTCCCCAACTCCAATAAATCAGAACACAGCCGTTAAATGAGAATGGTGTATGGGGTCAGCAGCGGAACAAAAATGGTTTACAGACAAGGCATATTTATACAGTTAAAATGACTATGAACAGTAACCAATGGAAAGAAAGGACAGTAAAGGTTATAATTAGGACAACTCAAAATTGACCAATAGGAAAACGACACGTGAAAATTATAGTTAGGACAACTGTAAATAATGACCAATAGAAAATAACATGCGAAATATGTGAGGAGTCTGAAAACATACGACTTTACTTTCGAGATAATTTTGGGATATTCCTGTGAATATCCTAACAATAGATAACTTCAATATTGATGGGTTACGTGGTTGTGATTTTTTTCTAGAGAAAAAAAACCACACATTCACTGTAATTCTACTGATTTAATCGATTCAAGTAGTATATTTGTATTCGTACGAAGGCTTATTGGTCATTTTGTTCAATTCATTTTGATATTTGATGGATGATTTAATTTTTGATAAGTTGTACTGTCTTTGTGTATAGGTGATGGTTTTCACTTCCTACTTATTGTTTAATCATTGCTAAGTAAAAATTATTTAGTAACTATTTCATTGTAATATGGGAATTTTCATCAGCGAGCGTTCTAAACTTCATAGGGAGAGCGTTAGACTCAAGACTTTCAGGTCTCACGGTAGGTGCTTAAGCTTTAGGTCACCGAGTCAACATTCAATAATTGACATTTCTAAGACAAGGTCTAAAGTTCTTCTGTTCGAACCCCAGTAGGGGTCTTGAATGCATGTTGTTGAGAAGCTCCATACCAAGATGAAACATTTACCTGGGGTTTTCTGGTTTTTCAACAGTTGCTTAACTAGGGTTAGTCTCCACAAGCTTCTCATACTAACAATACTCAATAATTTGATTATTTGTTTTATCTTTTAGTATGTACATTCCATTAAGATTTTTGGATAGGTTCATCATCTCAATCATTTACTCCATCATAACACATTTTAACTTTGTATACAAACTATTTCATATGTTAATGTCTCCTCTTAGAAATGATTCATTATATTACTCATTCATTTCTGAAGTTGACCAAAATACTCACTTAAACAATATTTTACTGCCTTGAAATCCATTCTATGAACAAATGACCGGTTCGACTTCAGTTATTTTAGCATTTTTATCAAGTCAGCTGAGTATTTAATAAACATACATAAAATCGGTCAACTTACTTTAAGAAATGTTATGTACATTCACTTTTTATTACCCATTAACTACCAGTTTAATTGAAAAGTTACATTAGGTTTCATTACATTAGTAGGTTGTATTCGTCACAGATTAGTCTCATTTAGTGTACCATCAGACGGCAGGGTGCACGGTACGACTAGTGAGCGTACTGGACCCACTTACGGATCATGGAACTATATCCTGAATTAAAACTGTACCGTGGGACTCCGATATAAGGATTCTAGTTGTTAACCATTCACGGAGACCTGAAGGTCCTGGATCCGATCGGTATAAGTGTAGTGAGTGCCCACTTTTGAGGAGTCATACTAGGAGGAAACCGTTGTCCAGTGCTTCCTGGTTTTTCAATGTAACCTTAACTGACATCAATTTGTAATCAATACAACTTATCAATTTAAATATTTGGAATCAACAATTTAAAAATTTACTTTTAATGTTTATTCCCTGACAAACCATTTAGATTGGCTTTAAACCTGCCGGTGGTCTTCGTACAGCTAAAGATGCTATCGACTATCTTCAATTAATTGATAATGTTCTTGGCTCTGATTGGACAAATCCCGATTATTTACGATTTGGAGCTAGTTCACTATTAGCCAATATTGAAACTCGACTATACAGTCTATGCCATAATGGTTTAATGCCATTACCTGGTGAATTAGACTTCTTTTAATTTTTTTCCCCCTGTTTTCTTTCAATTTATTCGACTTGATTATTTTTGATGATTATGTTTACTTTTCTTTTTTTTTAAAAAGTCTTTTCTATTAATTTTTTTTATACTGATGAACCAAACGTTATTTATATTTTGTACACATTTCGTTTTGACTGCAAAAAAGAATACAAAGAGGTGGTGACGGGAGTCGAGAGAAAAGCAAAAGGAAAAAAATCGGCAATTGTATGTTTAGTTAATAGTTTTTTTAAAAAAAAGAAAGAAATGACAAGGGGTTTCTATTTACGCTTATTCTCATTTGTTCCTTGTCGGTTTTCACGGAGTCCCTCCGACATCTATTCTTAGGTTTGTATGTATCACACATCGAAATAAATTATATATATATATATATATATATATATATATATATATACTTGAGGAGAAAGGTCAGAGGACGAAACAAAAGTGAAAAAAAATTAGGAAAGTAAACAAAATGATAGAACACAGTAATGAATGAATAGAAAAACAAAACAAAAAGAGAAATAAATCCATAATATTTATAAACATATTCCATAAACAAAAAATCAATAAATTTTATTACACATTATGATAATTGTATACCTTTTATTTTCTATATATTTTCCTCAAAATTCTGTTTATATAATAAATATTATTGTAAACATTCAATAATAATGATAATAATCCAATACAGTTATGTATCATGTTTGATTAATCGATATAAAGAAATATGGCTGTATGTATATATATATGTGTGTGTGTGTGTGTAAAAAACTAAGATGAGAATGAGAATTGTATAAATTTATGGTTTATTGGTTGCTGGCTTTAAGTAGTATTCATCACAACAATACGTACACGAGAACATGTACCTAGTCTCGTTTTTTTTCTCCTTTGAATAACCATTATAATCCCTATGATATACAATTATTAAGAATTATGTTTGAATATGTTTATGAAGTTCGATAGAAATCATTAGTACAGGAATAACAATAAAACTAAAGAGATTAGAATACACGTACAACAAACATAAATGAAATCAATGAGGAAATAAAAATCAATCTGTTCTCCTATCGTCTTTTAATTATTAACTATGATTATTGAAATACTTGCAAAAAAAATTAAAAAAAAAAAGATAATACACATAAAACATCGTTGTTATGATGATGATGAGTAGTGGGGATCACTATCAAAAATACAAACTTCAGCAATTCCTTTTTTTTCTCCCTCTCTCTCTCTCTCTACAGTTCGTGTACATGAAACAAATGTAAACCAGTAATGAGAAATGATAGGTTTTCTTTGAACACATTTTTTCTCCCTTTAAATTTTATATCTGATTAATGTCATTTTTAAACGTTATGATGTATATATCTTTCAACTTATGAGATAGAGAGAGACTCTAATAAAGATCAGGAAATGCGAAAAGAAATTGAGCATTATTATGTATATATTTAGTATGAAACTAAACGCACATAAATACAATAAATACATCATGAAATGTGAAAAAGTTTTTTCAACTTTTGCTCTTCATGGATGTGTATATGAGGGAGGGGGAGAGAGACAGAATGAGGTGGATATAATCGTTGTCAGCATCTTATCAAAACGTAAAATGCGTTCGCTACTCCGAGAGTGTGTGTGTGTGTGTGTGTGTGTGAGAGAGAGAGAGAAAGTACAAGATAGTTCATATTTGATATTCTTGATTGTTTATTCATAAACACATTGAATACAACATGATAAAATTAGATTATATAAAATAGTAAATAATACTAGGTTTTCGATAAAAGATAAAATTTCAATATACATCAACATATATAGATATGCATATGCATATGGATACATGTTTGGGCAGTGATAATTATTTTTTTGTATATGTTTATGATATCACTGTTCAGTTAACATGGAGAATAGAGGTAAACTTATTCATTATTAATTAAAAAAATGAAAAATAATTATTACGAAAAAAATATATATGTAAAAGTGTATGTGGACTGGGGGGAACAATTCCAATATCATGACCAATAAATGACATTTATATATGATTTTAGATCCCTTTATTATTTGGAATAAATCCAATTCAGAAATGCAGAATTCAAATAAGTATATATATACACATTATATGTGTCCACTGGTTTTAATCAATTTTTTTCTTCCTTCAATTCATTCATCATTTTCTGCATTATTATCATTATTATTCTCATTAATTTGATTATAGTACCATTCACGATTATCTTCTAATGTTTCTAAAATAGTTTGTGCATCTGGATAAACTAAATCTGACCATGTTTCCCATAATGGATGAACAATGTAATCAATAAAGCTGACCTGTGGGTGCGTGTACAGGATATGCAGCAGATTTGTCAGTAAAATAGGGGAAATTTTGTTGAGCAGACGTGGTGGGAGTGACGAGAGAGTAACCAAGATAAAAACAAATCGAAAAGAACACATTATAAAAGAAGCGGAATTTTTTAAAGTAATAGTTTGAGACGAGATTTAGTTTCGTATTATATTTTTATATAGCGACTATTATTGGAATCAATGATAGGCATTTTGTATTATTCAGAACTCTAAATGTAGCTGCCAACTAGTTGCTTAGGCTAACCTGTTGTGATGGTTAAATCAAGCAATGTTTTTCTGGAATACTCATTCCATCAGTTCCTTTCATACTAGAGGGGTAGTCGGAAAATGGAAAATTTTATAGTGTATGGTACTTTGTCAAGTTCACATGGGCTGTTCTAGCTTCCAGACAGAGCGATTTATTCGAGTCACATTTTGACCTTGTTGATTATTCGCTTATTAACCTTGACTGTCTTTAATATGAGCGTATGTGTGCTCATTGCTTATCCTATTCATCACATTTCTGTAGTTTGTTCTTGTCTGACTATAAATATTGGGTCACACTTGATCAAATCGAGTTGGCTTACTTGTTTTCTTCGCTTCACGTTCACTACCTTGTTTCTTTGATTGTCTGTTCGGATCAACGAGTGTACGAAATACACATATTCAAACTTCCTTCTCGTATTTGACTTACATAATTCCTTTATTCACTAACGTGATTCAAGTCGATAATTATATATGAAAGTAGCTGGGATGTATATTTTGATAGTAATCTTCATACAATTTAATTCAAGTCAGATGAAATATCTAATGTTTAGGTGAGATTTGATACTGATTAATGTTCGAATTTATTGCTACTAAATTTATTCAGCTCAAACTAGATCTGACCTGATCTTTAATAGTAAAACTAGGGTGAAAGAATTCAATGACTATTTAAATTCGATTTTAACTTATTGATGTGTGTTTCTATATTAATGTTAAAATCTTTCAACGTTTACATACAAGCTCCTTACATTTTGATACGATTAATTTGGAGAATTGTATGAGTTTTATACATACAGTTAGCGATTTAAACGTTTTATTCAGTAGAAAAAATGACAAAATATCGTTCTATTTATATTCTAAGTGTAATGATGATCTGATTTGATTTCTTAGTAGCGATGGTATAGGAAAATGATAAAATTTATACCAATAAACCAAAGGTGAATATTTTATCTGATACTCCTTAAGAGAATATCATGTGTACCATGATTATGGTGGACACATAGTGTTTTCCTAATTGTCTGTGTAAAGGACCGTTATATTTTCGCAAGTTAGTCTATAGTGTTACATTCGTTATTCACTAAATTCAGAACAGAGATTTACTTCATTTATCATTATTTTGAACAAGGTTATTTCAATGGTACACAAATGTAATAGCTAACAGGACTGAATTGAGGATTTAGAATGCTACTCACTATTTCTAATATGCCCTGGTATGGCCGAGAGTGGGGAGAGTTCGTTCTCTTTCTCGAAGTGCTTTCACATGGTCGCGCGTATACGGAAACTTTTAGGGAAGTTCTACTCACTATCTTCTCGCGGAGGCGTGTTGTTTACAAAAATGAGGGGATGAGAAGAGAATATCCGGTGCCTGACGAAAAAAGTGGCGTATGAACGCATTGTTGGTCACCATGAGATTGTATTTTTAACGTTGCTCCACTGCCTTGTGGACTAGACCTTTAGGTCAAAGGTTTGAGGATTGGCATCCTAAGAAAACCACCTGCCTCGGTTTGGGCACCCGGACAGTATTCCAGACCCCACACAAATCCAATGATTTATCTGGCGCATATGTATTTAGTGCCTCCTTGTACCAATGTTTATGTGTCTAAATTAACAACATCACTGACTAATATACAATTTACATGATATTGTCACTTACGATCTAGTATATTTGAGAACGTGTGTTTATGGGGTATTCAACGCATTGAATATATACATGGATTTTTTTTCTAACACAAATTTAATTCAAATAATACCATCGTTGAATAAGTTAAATAGTTGGAAAAGTTAAAAATTAACACAAATATTATATTGTACGTATGCATAGTATAAACTACCTGTGATTTTTCAATGGTCGCTGTATTTCGATCACATATTGGACTTATTTCAATGCCTAATTCACGTTCTTTATCACCTTGTTGAAAGAGTTCTTCCATAACACGATTAGTCCATTGTCTATACAAATCTAATGGTTTAGCTGGATTACTTAAATCAGCACAATGTACCATATTTTGCAAGATCTAATAGAGAGGAATAAAAAGATGAATGTATAAGACCAAATAATAAAACTACTTTGGTGAATTTTGTGTAGTTATAATCGATTTTATAAGTCAGTCATAAGCAATAAAGAATCTGGAACATATGTGCATCGACTCAAGTTGTTTTATCATATCAGTACAGTGTAATAGAATTATCAAGAAAAGTTCGGCGTAGACAATATGATTCCAGAAGAATGGATAAGTTCGTGGAATAGAACAGTATAAGATCATTTTAAAATATTAAGATCTGGGTCATTGCAACCGACTTGGAAGCATGTCAACCATATTATCCAATCAATGGTTAAAATAATCATAATGAGGACCATGACCTGGCAGTCTTTATTGACCAACATGGCTCAATGTAACAGTCAGTAACTTCATAGGGTAAAGCCATATCTGAGATTTTTCCTTTCAGCCTACTCTTATACCGGTCAAGTAAATGTATTTGGTCTATTGTAACTGACTAGAAGCTACGTGACGCAACGTTTAGAACAACTAGTTGCGTTTTTTTCTCTTTGTTTAAGATTTATGCTTGTTTGATTAAGTTTACTGGTTAGTTTATAATCATAGCCATCTATTCATTTTTTGGGTTCATTCCAAAATATAAAACTTATAGATTTGAGTAATAATTTACAACTCCGTGGCTTGAAGAATTATTTGAATAATTTGGTGCTTGATCAGTTGGAATTACAGCTTAATAGTCTAAGCAATTAATGTCTCATTGGCAAATTTAGTCGTGCAGTATCGTCAGCACTCGATCTATGCTTATTTCACAGCTGAGAATATGAATCTATACTTAGATGCCAATTTACATTCACGTATTACTATAAAAAGTTTAACTTTTATTAATGAAAGAAGTTTGTAGAGATTATTGAGGATCATAGTTTGTGATGTTACGAACTAGTCTTAACTAGATAACCATTGGGAACCAGGAAGTACAGAATAATTATTTCATCCTGTTACGGGTTTGAACTCAAACGGGGTCGTGGATTTATATTGTTAAGGAGTCCTGTACTACGACGAAATATATATCAAGTGCATTTTTTGTTTTCAATGGTTGTCTAACTGAGATCACTTTGTCATGCAAACTTTAAAAATCACTTTTTATTCTTATGAGATTTGATATTTTTAAAACTCTATGTTATTAAATACAGGAATAATTTCATTCTTTAAACACTCTTGATTAAGAGACAACTTTTTAATTAGTTGTAAGTCACCCTTCATGATCTTAATCAAATGATAAATTCAATCTAATATGTAAATATTCCTAAGCAATTGATCATTATATTTAAGAGAGTTATACCTTATCCTTTATAACAGAGATTGATTAGTTTGAAAATTGTTTAATTAAACTAGCATATTCATATAGTCAGTTAGATTTAAAGTTAATGATAACCCATCAATTATAACTAACCATGTGATTTATATTTCATAACTTGTGTTGATGAAATTACATAATAGGTATGAATTCCGGATAAATTTCGAGCTTTTCATTTTAAAAATAATAAAGATAGTTTTCATGAAAAGTTTCTTCCTTTTTCTTGTAACAATAATATATTTTATATAAGATTATAGTTGTAATCTATGCTTACTATACATTTTGGGCAATTGACTAGGTTAGTGAGAAAGCTAAGAAATGGTCAGGAAGCTGTGATTGACAAAAGCGAACGAATATGTACAGAAATCAATAGTATTTGTACACTTATCTTTCTGACCTAGGCAAGAATATGCAAGTTGAAGTTCCTATTAGATTCATGATAGATTTTCTGTATTAGTATACATTGTTTACATTTTCTCACTTGATATTTGACCTTAAACTGTCATGTGAGCCGTCTGACTTGTATATAAGTCTAGACTCGCCCAGCTTATCAATTAGGTATTGAGTCCTGTTCAATGGTGAGTATGGCTATTGATCGTTGATCTGAGGCATATCGGTAAATTCAGACTATATGGTTGGAGTTCGAACGATTATTATGACTAGAATAAGCAGTTTTAGACGTTGGGTGGTATGTACGAGGACCAATCATAATGACCAAACCAAAACGTGGCATCAGTGCTTGATGTCACTAACTTCTAGTCTAAGCCATGTTGGCAGATGCAGACTACTTGGTTGGGGTCCGCGCGACTATCGTAACCAATGGTTGGAGACTCTAGGTGAGATGGCTCAGAATCGATCACAATTGCTCAGGTGTATACACTCTTTATCTTCCCTTAAACCTTGAGATTAAAATTGCTTCATATCTGTCTTTCTTCCTGTACTATATCCTTATATACAACCATTCTTATATATTAACACCACTAAATTAACTGATTCTATGAATTCGGTGTTCATCTTGTTGTGCTAACGAGGTATGGCAACTTGGACCGATGCGAATCATATTCTCTTTATCTATCACTGATACTGCAGGTACATTACTATTCATCTTGATAGTTTTATCTCACTTTACTTGATGTGATTTAGCGACCAATGCACATCTATTGCCAGATTTCACGTTGATTATAAATGACAGACTGATTGCTAGGTATAATTTCCACTCAAATGATTGGATCTTTGATTTTTTTCAGTTACTGAGATTTCACATGGTTATCTCCGTTATTTTTGTTAATCTACTTACTATGGTCATAGTTGGTCTATTCATGGATAGAAGCCGTCTATCTATTCCGATTCAATCCTTATCAGTGTACTCGACTGAGGCGAAATTTGTTTGGATCATCATCAATTAGATAGTAGCATTTAGCTTTAATATCTAAATAAAGTATTAGAAACTTAGTGACAATATAAATGAAATCTCAATTTACTCACTTTACAATTATTAATTTTTATAAAATTGCTTTTTTTAGTTGTGGGAAGTAGTTGGAACATAAACGAGTTAACTAGTACCAGTCATTTGAACTTTCCAATTAGTAGAGACAATAACAAGCGACAAAATATACATAAGTACTATTTATCAATATTATTTAAATATGGGGAGATATATTGCTATAAACGTTTTACATGACTGAATGACATTTAAAAGAGGCCTTAAACGTACATCTTGAGACTTTTATATCAATGAGGTATATCTGCAACCTATAAGGAACTGATACTTTTAAATAACTTATCACTGAGTAGTGAATGATGTCATGCTTATTTAGTCTTTTAGTACTGATCAATATCTATCAATTAAGTTGAGGGCGGAATAACTCATCTCTAACGTTTCAAACTGTGAATCTGAGTGACTCAAGTTCGAATACCATAGGAAGCACCACTTCCTTCAGAAAGCTAAGTACACCTTGCTGATGAGTGCCAACTAGCATGAATCCTAAATTCAAAGTGTCATATTGATTACTTCCAACTTCTTAACTACCGATACTCCCTGTTGGACTCGAATTTGAGTCACCCTCAGTGTTTAGATTGAAGATATGTAATTTTAGGTTAACATGGTTTATCATACAAGAAAAATTTTGTGTCATTAAAATCATGAACCAATGTAAGTTAGACCATCATTGAAGACCTGGAAGCACTGGAAGGTCATTTTGTACCGGTATAGAACTCCTCAGCAGTGTGCATCCACGACTCTGCAAGCAGGAGCCGAACCCAGAATCTCCGGTCATGCCCGCAAACGCTTAATCTCTAGGCACTAAACCGGTATCCAACAGTGTTAATGTCTAACTTCATATAATGAACGATCCAATGGTGATCTAATTTACATTCGTTTATGATCTTAATGAAAGTCAACCATCTCCATAATACCCATACTGACAGAACAACTATGGATTTGGTTTGTTTCATTACAGATATCTTTCAAAAACAGTGGGAAAAAACACAATAAATATATAAAAAATAATGCAATTATTTACCTGCATTCTGTCAATATAATTTTCTAAAGTAAGTATACCGGATCCAGCAACCTTTTTCGTTTCAACCATTGTTTTCAAATCAGCTAACAAACTCATATGTTTGGACATATCTGTAGCTAAAACCTAGTTTTTTTTAAAAAAACATTACATTTTTAAAATAACATTAAGACACTATTTCGTACAATAATAGTTCGAAACATTATTAACTTATTTAAGGTTTAATCTCTACAACATACTTCCAACAGTACTTTAGTCGTGGGAGCATTAATAACTTACTTCCAAGAATGAGGTCCTGAAATTCTAGTGAGAGATTACGTAACCATTGGTGTTCGGTCATATTGCGAGTGAAATTGTTGTCATCTGGAATATGTTTGGTAAAGACTGTGAAATTGGTTGATGTTGAAAATGTAAATACCAATAGCCTCTTACCCAGTGATGGAATAGTTAAGCATCCACTATTCTAAACATAAAGGTTCAGGGGTTCGATTCTCCAATAATTATCTGATGTATTATTGAGCATCTTGATACAGTGTTTTCAATATAATGTTGATAGATCAGATCATATTATGTGTTGTTAAGTGAGTGAGCGTAAAACACATCTTATTCAAAGTTTCATCAAAAACATGTTTCTTCTACCATCTTGTTCAAAAGTACTTATCATTTTTCATCAAATTTTAAACAAGGTACTTGACCTTAAACTAAATGCGCATCCCGGGTTCTACTGCTAGCTACTATCCAACTTTACGGAGAGCACTTGACCTTTAAAATTACCAATAGAACAAGCTAAAACTATAGGCCATTCCTCGAACCTTTTGAAGTTTGATAAATTAAAGCTCAAAACGTTAGGGAGGATTGAATACTTCAGTTGAGAATAATTTCGATTGGGAATTGGTAGACTATGTATAACATTGGAATCTATGACTCTGATTTATCCTATTTGAGACTAATGATTATATAAGCATCATATACAGTGAATAAGTTATTTGAACTCATTATCTTAGTAGACTAAGGCCTTGGTATTTAAAACGAAAAGAATTAGGTTCGAGTCCCTATTCGAATAATAAAACTAAGATATGGGTATATCTAACTGAAGAGTCCGAAATAGGACGAAACACGCATCATGAATTTTACTGTTAAATGCAACCCACCCTATTTTCAATAAAGTGTAAAATAAGGCAATCGTTACAGTGATTTACTACTATGATTGATAGAAATTCAATTTTAAACATTAACAATCGGATAATTCAAGCAGTTATTATCACTGACATAACTCATTGAGTTTTTAACATGCGATAAATACTAAAATTTATTGTTTTAAGATCATAATAATAATAATAATAGTAGTACATTTCTAACTTACCATATCAATAATCATACGTCTAGAACTAAGTCGTTGTTTACGTGGAAAGTTCTCAAAAACATCATGACCTGGTTGACCTAATAGGGAAAATGCTATAGCTAAATGATGATTTTCCAATACAGATGAATCATTGTATAGAATTGCTAATTGGTCATCTATAGGAAAGCAAAAAAAAACATGTTACTGATAGATAGTGTGTTTTATTGTTCTGGGTTTTTTATTTTGTTTCCACGATTTTATAATGCCATGAGAATAAAGTGAGATAAAAGTAATACATATGCTCACCTATAGTTGATTGATCACTGAGTATGGGGACCAGTGTCATGATCATATTGTCTGTTAGTGTAGATTAAATTCTATTGTCCATCTGAAGCGGTTCGTTCTTACCATACATTTAAACAATCTATTTTTAATTATAGAAGGGGTTTTGTGGAGATTTAGTATTTACTATAGTTTTAAAGCGTGAGTCAAAGTTCAACTATAATAAATACTAAATCTCCACAAAACCCCTTCTATAATTAATATAATCATATGCTCACTAGTGACTTCGAGAAGTATATCTAGGAGCTCTAGTGAGAAGCAGTGACCAGTGGAGTTCAAAACCACGTCTGTTGTGAGATAGGAACTCACTGAAGACAATTGGTGAATGGTTGCTCAACTTCGTGGATCAGTTGAAGTTAGACATTAACACCGTTGGATGCCAGCTCAGTGGTCTATCGGTTAAGGGCTTCGGCTCGAGACTGGTAGGTCCTGGGTTCGAATTTCGCTCGCGAGAGCAGGTTCGTGGATGCGCACTGCTGAGGAGTCCCATAATAGGACGAAACGGCCGTCCAGTGTTTCCATGTATTCCATGGTGGTCTAGCTTCAATTGACTCACGCTTTAAAACTATAGTAAATCTATTTTTATTCAAACCAGTCTAATCAGTAAATATGTCAACTTGGATCGACCAAGTATTTTGTGACCTTGTATGTAAATACGTTTTCTTATATTTTTAATAGTTAGATCTATTGCACACTTTTCCATGTAGATGTATGCGTATTTTGTCGACATGTTCCTATAGTCTTACTCATATATTTCATACATCATCTATTTTTATATGTAAGCTGAATCACACTAACACCAGAGTCAGAATGTTCAATACAAATGTCAAGACAGTTATACTGTATGAGGTGGAAACCTGGAGAACTACGAAAGCCATCATCCAGAAGATACAAATGTTTATTAACAGTTGTCTACGCGAAATACTTCGGATCCTTTGGCCAAAAACTATCAGGAACAACCTACTGTGAGAGAGAACAAACCAGATTCCAGTGGGGGAAGAAATTAGGAAGAAGAGCTGGAAATGGATAGGACACACATTGAGGAAATCACCCAACTGCATCACAAGACAAGCCCTCATATGGAATCCTGAAGGCCAAGGGAAAAGAGGAAGATCATAGAACACAATACGTCGGAGAATGGGAACAGACATGGGAAGAATGAACAAAAATTGGATAGAAATAGAAAGGAAGGCCCAGGACAGAGTGTGTTGGAGAATGCTGGTCGGCGGCCTATGCTCCATTGGGAATAACAGGCGTAAGTAAGTAAGTAAGTAATTAAGTAAGTAAGTAAGTAAGTAAGTAAGTAAGTAAGTAAGTAAGTAAGTGAGTAAGTAAGTAAGTGAGTGAGTGAGTGAGTAAATAAGTGAGTAAGTAAGTAAATAAGTAAGTAAGTGAATCACACTCTTAACTAAGCGTCTTTGGCTAGTAATAACTAAAGTCCACTACTTTACATCTATTCATTTATTCTCATTGTTTGTCCGCTAAATTGTGTATGGAATTCATACATCCTCAACATTATTCAGATTTGACTTTTATTTCTTGTTGCTACTGAAAAGTCATTTGACAGAATATATACGAACTTAATAAGGATCTATATTTTATTATCTGTTATCATCATCATAATGATCAATGGAGTTCAACAAGGGCTATAAGATTGGTCGTGGTCAAAATACTTCAACAGTAACGTATCAGATTTTGATGCTCGACAACGTGGGTGCGAACCTCACAGAAAGCATCCGTTCTCTTTTGATTCCAGGTATTCTTTGTTGACAAGCGATAAATAGCATGGAACCCATATCAAACAAGACTTCTTATCGGCTACCTTCAACGTTACAACGAACAAGCATATAATAATTATAATAATAACAATAATAATAATAATAATAATAATAATAATAATAATAATAGATTTTTCAGCATAAGTATGCATTTTTCTAATGTAAGACGTAAACGGCTGGAAATAGTATAACCAATCAGAGAAGAACTATCATTTTCACATTGTTAGGATGAATTAAATTATACAATGGTAACATTTGTGTTATAATGTGTGGCAGAGTGGATGCCCAGTTAATGTATGACGTGATAAAACCGACAATCAGAGAGCAGCGAATTATCGATTGGAACAGTGACACACAAAAACCGTACGAGCAGTCTAGTGTATGTGTCGGTCCTACTTTCTGCCTAGCCCAGTCAGTTGAATCCAGAACACCAATAACAGCCTCTGCGGTATGAATCATTGTATTTCAAACATACTGAGTTTATATACCAAACAGACTGACCACAGCGTACCACTATAATAGGTAATAACATTTGTACAAGATTCAGCCAAATGTGGCTGTGAATAGGGGGAACGGTAATTAATGGACTAAGGATAACTCAAGAATGATAAATCGTATAATAATAGTCTATAGGTCAAAATAAAGCTTATAATAAAAGGAACACGAATATGAATAGTTTGGTTATTTAGAAATTATACGATAAAAAATATATACATAATACTGGTCCATAAATTGATGCCAAAGTTACCATTCACTATCGTTATCGGGACATGACAATTTGGAATTCATAAAATAAGACTGTGGACTTATTTGTTTAAAAAAAAATAATAACAGACTAGTGTAGTACAACAGGGAAATTGATTATTATCACTTTATTTTGATCAAGAGTTTCATCACGCACTTTGAATAGGCTAAGTCATAGATAAAATGAGTTAAGGTCAACAATGTAAATTATTTGTTAATTTCAACTAATTGAAGAGAAAAAAGATAACTGTTTAATGGTCACTAATTTTTAATGATTTTTTCTAATTAAAGAAATTTTAGAAAGTTCGTTTTAACTTTATTTGTATTCGTCTCAGATTGATGTCAGTTGAGGGGATTACTGAAAACCAAACCAAGGGGAAATTGAACGGAACTTTCAAGTTTTAGTGCGAACGCCTAACTATGAGAACCATTTATTTGGCATCCTTCATCTTAAGCTTAAAGAAAACAATGTGATCTAATAACTGCTTATACAACTGTCTGATTATATTACTTTTGTATCTATTATTTATGGGACTTGTTTCTACTTTCTGAACCCTGTTCTACAGTTTTCATTGTTAGTATTGGGGGATTTGTAAGTATTGTAGAATTTTCAAGGCCTAAGTCACAAGCTGATCGTCATTGAAAATCTGGAAGCACTGTACATACTTTTCGTCGATGTATAGGACTCCTCGTCATTGTTATTATTAGTATTGTGGCGGTTTGTGACTAGTTCATAAGCGAAGATAAACTAGCTCAATCTGTAGTTTGTGCAATAAAACTTAATATTATAACTATACTTTTAATATGAACTGTTAGTATTTTCGTTAAGTAAACTATTGTTTAGCCTATTATTGGTCGTGAATCGTGTATTTAAGCATAATATTATCCAATCTATATCTAATATGTTGACCGAGCAACCAGTTTAATCTAGCATTATTTAAAATTTCGAACCAGTATCGAATCTATGATTATATTTATCCATTACAACAAGTATTATTTCGATCCTTTTGTTATTTGTCTTGTGAATATCATGTCAACGTTCTGATACAGTATGTGACAACTTCGTCAACGGCATATTGGTATTAGACTCCATACCGATATCTAACTAACAATTATCTCTAAATGTAAGAATTTCTTCAGCAAAACCATCCCATACGAATAAAAGTGATAACAAGGCATTTATACAAAAAGTCAATACTGCAGTACAAATGTATTTCGTTTAGAAGAGAAAATAAATAACGGAAATGTGTCAGTTATCACTGATCATTTCGATGTAGTGTAACTAGACTTTGTAGAATTTTTATTGGTAAATGCAAAAAGTTAGTTTCAGTGGTTAACAAATGTGTATTCAATCGATGAATCTCACAGATCGTTAAATTTCAATAAATAAGACCAAAATATAGTGATGATATTGATGTCTGATTAACTGATAAACCCAGTATAGATTGATGTATTAATTGACAAAAATTAGTGTGTAGGAAGCCCTGCTTGGTATTGGTTTTATTCTAGTTGGGATTCATCAGCAAGATTTACCTACAATCTTAAAGGATCTGATGTTGTCAGCAGGATTAAAACACTTGTCACTCAGTTTCACAGATTGAGATGTCCCACTGAGCTATTGGAGCAGTGACTGATTTTCTATAGTACTTAATCGACATAAACTTCGCCTGTAGCTCTTCTAGAGTTACAGCCGGTCCCAAGCCCGGGTAAAGGAGGAGGGTTGGGCATGGGGTTAGCGACCCCATCCCGTAGAAAAGCTAACTCGCTAAAAAAACGCTAACCAGAAAAAATAATTCAAACCATTTAAACACTGCCCTGGGAGTAGAAGGAATAATTATGACGTCTCATGATGAAAGCCGAAATTCTTCGGAAGTCACGAGACCGATGCACCTTCTAACAACCAGAGCAACACTCTTTATAGGTACATGGAACGTCCGGACAATGTGGGAGACAGGAAAGACCAGCCAAATAGCAATGGAAATGAGGAGATACAACTTGGCAGTACTCGGAATCAGCGAAACCCATTGAACACAAACTGGACAACAAAGGCTAGGTACAGGAGAGATGCTACTGTACTCCGGTCACGAAGGGGAAAATGCTCCACACACTCAGAGAGTTGCTCTAATGCTGTCCATAGAAGCAAGAAATGCACTTGTGGGATGGGAATCTCATGGACCCAGGATAATCAAAGCATCATTCAGAACAAAGAAGCAAGGGATCACAATGAACGTTATCCAATGTTATGCACCTACCAATGATAGCAACGACGATGATAAAGACCAGTTCTATGAAAGGCTGCAATCAATTATAGCAAAGTGCTCACGAAAGGACCTGACCTGACTCAATCCCTAAATTGGAATCCGGAAGGGAAGCGGAAAAGAGGAAGGCCAAAGAACACACTACGCCGGGAAATAGAAGCCGATATGAAAAGGATGAATAGCAACTGGAAAGAACTGAAAAGGAAGGATCAGGACGGAGTTGGATGGAGAATGCTGGTGAGCGGCCTATGCTCCTCGACGAGGGGTAACAGGCGTAAGTAAGTAAGTAAGTAATCGACATAGGATAAATTAGTTCATTAAAATCAATTGAATGATACAATACGAATGTATTTCATTTGGTTATACTTTGTAATTCAACAATTCGATGAATTTTTTCTTGATCTCATCATTAAAAATTGAACATATAGTAAGTATAATTACAGATCAATTTTTAAACAATGACTAGCAATAAAATTCATTGAACACTTTTTGAATTTTGTAAAACGTTTCATCTAGATATACTCCCATCCTAATATTAACATTTCTACTGAGACTCAAAGGTAGATATCTATATTTTTTTAAAAACCCTTGATTGATAATTTAATTGAGAACATTGAAACTGAGACAATTTATCTATCAAATGAATCCTCAATAGAATGAAATTCACGTACATGATTTCTTTATTGGCTATTATCAAAAACATAATAAACTTATAAGTGTACATATGATTGAATCATCTGTTAAAAACGTTTATAATAACAATAAGAATAGATCATGTTTATTTGCAAATATCAATATAAGAGGACGGGGAAAATACATATTCTTGAACTAATAATATAATTTAAAAGGGGATTTGTGGAGATTTCAGTATTTTTCAAAGTTGAAATCATGAGTCAATTGAAGCTCGAAACTGGTAGGTCCTGGGTTCGAATCCCGCGAGAGTGGGTTCGTTGATACGCACTGCTAAGGAGTCCCATAATAGAACGAAACGGCCGTCCAGTGCTTACAGGTTTTCCACGGTGGTCTAGCTTCAATTGACTCATGATTTCAACTTTGAATAATAATATAATTGTTGTTTATACAAAAGCAATTGATGTTTGTTTTTAGAAAGGATCAGTTTATTAATATTTATTTCATTTAGTAAAATACTTGAGTAAAACATTTTCTTAACCCTTTTTTTTTCAAATTCATATCCATCAAGAAAATTGAATAATGGCAATGTTTAAGTTTTTATCCCATATAAAATAGACAATAATGAAATGTATCTTTGAAAAAAAACAATGCCTATTTATTATCTAACCATTTTAAAAGACATATCAACTATTGATTAAAGAATTAATCATAACTGATTTACAATTTTATCATAAATAAACAATTCCCAGGGTTCTAATGTTTATGTTTATGTTTAACCATGTAAAATAGAAGATAATGAGTTACTAATAATATTAATAAAATGATTATACATTTTTACGAATTGATTGAAATTAGATATGTACATGTAATCATAAGGATAAGCTCTCGTTGCAAGGTCTGAAGACATCAAGACACCGTATATGGTTCAGTAGTCTTATCTTGTCTTATCTTTTTGCTCCCTCCAGCACTAATAATCTCCGGGGTCATAGCAAGAAGGTTCTGAAACCGCGATCTAATAAACTAAAGGTGGGGTCCCGTTTTTCTCATCGAGTGTTCAATGATTGGAACGCTTTACCAGAACAAGTGGTATCAGCACCATCAGTGAACATTTTCAAAAAGAAGCTGAACCTTCACTGGAAGGAAATCTGTCAGGATTAACACAGGTTCATCAACCTACTATCCTTATTACTGAAGACTGAAGTAGTGGATGTACACTATTGAGGAGTCACATTCTAGAATGTTACAACTGTCCAGTATTCCTAATTTATGACAATTATCTAACTAAAATCAGTTGTTGATTTAAACTATAAAATCTAACAATCATCAAAAACTCATATATAAAAACAAAATTTCATGAAATGGAAACTTACTTGTATTAATTAAATACTGATTTGTAACTCCTGGATGACCGACATCATGAATGGCACAAGCAAATAGAACTGTGAAAATTTCTAAATCTGTAAATACAGACTGATGAACAAACATTGGCGATAATTCCATGAGTGATAGCATGCATGTATGATATATATAGATGAAAGTGAGAATTACATGAAAAGCAAAACAAAAGAGAAACAAAAAAAGAATTAACATGCCAATTTCAATTAAAAAATTAAAAATATCGGTAAAAATATTTTTGTAAAACATGGAAATAAATTACTTAGATTATGGATGGATTTAAATGATCAGATTCCAACTGATAGAAAAAGTTAAATTTCTAACAGGATCATAGCTAATGGTATGTTATTGACATTTAACTGATCGGATTCTATTATTATAACTAATTTATTATTGATTTTAACCAATCAAATGTAGTTGATAGGAGAACAGTCAACTCATAATTGATTGATCACTGGGTGGTGATCAATTTTATAAGTGTCAAGTTTGTCCTAGTGCCAATCGAATGCTATCGATGAAGTTGCAATGTGGCCACTAGTCTAGGTGGCTCGATACTGTATGCACTATGTTGAGATAAGATAGTGATTGGGGATGGTCAACAGCAAACCATGGTCTCGGGTTTCGTGCTACTTGGCACTCATCAGCATGGTGTACCTGTAATCTTGAGGGAACTGGTGCTCCCTGACTGATTCGATCAGCACTAAGATGGACTTGACACGCATGACATCGATCACCACCCAGTTATCAATCAATTGTGATTACATCTCAATCTTACAGGAGGTCAGTCGCGGCCCGAATAGCTCGGTGGTAACTTCTCTGACTGTGAAGCTGGGTGACAAGGGATCGAATCAGTCAGGGAGCACCAGTTCCCTCAAGATTACGGGTACACCATGCTTACGAGTGCCAAGTAGCACGAAACCAAGGTCCAGGGTTTCATGTTGACCATCCCCAACCACCATCTTATCTGAACAGTCAACTCATTAGCAATTATCCAAATAGATTAAATATGGAAGCCATTTATATTAAGGATTTAGTTGTAAAAGCAACAAGTATTGGACAGCTGAATCATTTTCTTATGTAAGCAAAGATGGATAGTGGCTAGCAGTGGAATCCAGGACGCGCGTTTTGTCCTATTTGGGACTCGTCAGCTGGATGTACCTGCATCTCAGAGTTGATGTTCACTCTGGGACTCAAACCCAGTACCCTCGCTTCAAACTCCATCGCGTTATCCACTCGGCTACTGAGTCCTGATAGCCACTTGCTTGTGCGATGGGGTGAAGTTTAAATTCATTCAGTATTGTTTGTTTGAATTTTCCCATCGATTTGTTAGGACTGCAACTGGTCAGTCTCTAATTGGCATATGTGCATACCATCTCTGCTTATCATGCTTGTGAATTAAGGCTATATTGAGGCAATACGCACAGTATGCACATATGCCAATTAGAGACTGACCAGTTGAAGTCCTAACACATCGATGAAAAGATTTAAACAAACAAGACTAAATGAATTTTCTTATGTAGTTTTTCAGCAACTTATACCTAAAACTCCACTAGGGATCTAACTAGATTCCTAGGTCACGCCATGAGAACTTAAGATTTAGACGATTAAGCCGACGTTCAAACTTCAATCTATTCGCGGTATTTAGAAATGACTCTATTTATGTATAAACCATGTAATTCATGGGATAATGTTGATAACTCACATATTAAATGATTAGTATGATATAATTTTATTTATTCAATATTACTTGATAAAAAAATTGGATTATAGAAAAATGGAAATTTAATAGATATCAATGTAGATAAATTACATTGTTTAAACTTTGTTAAAGGGGAGGGTTGAAGTGGTATTGGAATAAAGTTATTCAGCTTTTAATTGATTTCTTATTTAATTTCAATAATGGATGATTTAATTACTAAAATGAACTTGATTTGTTTGAAAAGAAATTACACTTAACTTTGCATGTTCAGTTAATTGGCAACTGATATATATTGAATATTATAACTATTTTGTTGTTGAAAGACATCGGTTTAATATACAATTTTATCCATTTAATGCCTAGTCAACTTTAGAAAGTAATCTAATCTTAGATTCATTCGAATCATATGAAAAATTGGGATTAAATTCAATATGTAGGTGAATAATTAAAACTATTTTATTTCTTCTGATATAAAAATGAGTCATGTAATCACATCAGTAATGAATTTCGAGAGGTAATTTGTGTTTTAATAAGAAGCAAAGATCAATGGGATCCAACCATCTCGGATCTGAGTTAGTTACATATAAAAAATAACATTGAAATATAGTTTAGTATTATTGACTGAAGTTATAAGCGTAAATCACTAAGTGTTAACTTGGTAATTTAAGGGTTACGTATATACTATAGGATCTGAAGACATTAGATTACTGTGCCCATTGAAGTGATGAATACTCACTTCTAAGGAGTGGCATACTAAAATGAAATATCTATTCAGCGTTTACTGGTCCTCAGTAATCGTTTAACAAACTTTAGTCCATTATGTAAACCTTAAAGTTTCAGTAATCTACGTGAACTGTTTATACCAACAAACTTAAAATTTAACATGGATATTGTTAATTGTCTGTAAAGAAAATCATAGTGAATGTACTTCAGTTTATTCAAGATTTTTCAAGTGCTGCTGCCAAAGTAAATTTTGTTGTTAGTAATATTTGGATTTTGAAATTTATGTATGTATACACGATCACAGATTAACACAGTGAAACGACACAATATACTATTAACAATTAAATCTATTTATGTAGAGTACTATGGATATAAATTTAATGAGGAGATTGTTGTTATGCTAAATGGAGAATGTCAGTGTAATTTTGTTTTCCAATAAGGATAACAATTAGGTCAATTTACAATCAGTCAGCGTGTCGACATCTCTTCAACTTATTATTTTTACACCAGCAAAGTATGAATCAATCTCCTAAATGTTGATCACTCGAGTGAAAAAAAACCCAGTCAAGATGAGATAGTAAAGATTCATGAAGATAAGAGAAGCCAGGAGATAAAGATAATCACGCCATCAGAAAATAAATTAGTCTAGTGATTTTGAAACAATTTTTAAAATAATATTCACTTTTATGATTCAAAGTATGTAAACTCATTTTGTATTGTTTATTGATGTTTAATACTGTAATTGATCAGTCTCTTATTAGCGTATGTGCATCCTGTGTGAATTACCTCGATATCACCTTTAGTCAAAAGCATTATAAGCAAAGATGGATAGTGACTAGCAGTAGGATCCAGGACGCGCATTTTCTCATATTTGGGACTCGTCAGCTGGATGTATCTGCATCCCGGCGTTTGAAACGTACGGTACTGGGTTCGAGGCCCAGATTGATCATCAACTCTGGGATGCGGGTAAATCCAGCTGATGAGTCCCAAATAGGGCGAAACGCTCATCTTGGGTTCCATTGATAGCTGCCATCCATATTTGCTTTCCAATTATGTTTTAAGATAACAATGAAAACTTTACAATTCAAATTAGTCAATTAACTAAGCAACTAATCATCTAAGAAGAGCTACATTATATATCACACAAACCAAAATAAATAAATAAATAATATTGATTAATAATATAACATTGTGGTTTACCTCTAATGATTGTGCATTTAATAATACATGTGTTGATTGTACAACATCAGCTGCATGAACACGATTATGATATGGATTATTGTTATATTTCTCTTCAACAGCAGTCATGTATAGAAGTAGATTACGTTCAGGTATAGCAAATTTTTGCAAAAGATTTCTTTTCTATAAAAAAAATTAAAAATTAAACAAATGGATATTTGATGATAAAATAACGAAGTAGATTTTGAAATTGATATAATTTATTATATAGAGATAAATATTTAGTTGGAGGGATTTTGTGGAGAGTGGTTTAATTTGTAAGGCGTATTCATCACAGATTGATATTAGTTGGGTCAACATTGAAATGTAGGCAGCTTTCTAAGAGTGAGCACTTATAACCCCAATAGGGATCCAACCTAAGACTTTCAGGTTTTGTGACAAATCATTTCAGGATTATAGAATATATGGATTGTGCTAAGCAGTGGGATCCAGTACGAGAGTTCCGTCTTATTTTGAACTCTTCAGCTGAGTGTATTTGTGTCCCAGTGTTGATGTTCACATTGGAAATTGAACTCAGTATCCTTTATTTTAGACGTCAAATGCATTATCGACTGTGCTACTGAGTCCAGGAAGCTTAAACAGTGAGTAAGGATTGAATTTAATTTGTTGTAGTTTGCATTGTCCTGTTATTTATATCCATGACAGAATTATAGTCAGTTGTAGCTTACATTTGTGAGTTCTGTTTGGATGGCTTAGATATAGTCAGCTTTCAAAAGTCTCATAGACTATCAGAGGGATAAACTAGAATCTCTGAATCGGCATCCAGAGTAAAGTTATGACTTTAATCAGTTGTCGATCTAACCTTATAACAATCTCGTGCTATAGATAACAAATGTTTGTTTGCCGATAGATCTAAACTCCACCAGTCTTGACCTCTCATTAGAAAATCAAGCACATTTTGAAGCAAGTTACTAGTAAACTGACTATTAAAATTTGGCTCAAGGGGTTTTCTGCAGATTGATTCAAAGTTAGGTTCTTTTTAATGATTTTGTATAATTTGTTATATCACCCGTCAATGTGAGATTGACAAACCGCTTCATGTAGATTGATTTGGGCGGTTATGTAATATCTCTAGGTCTCACACACAGATAACCTGGTTCAGAGCCGAATACGTAATCGTTTGCTATGTAAACGAGTTATATTATTACTATCACTATTATGGTTATTATCGCTATCTATCTAGATAATAATTCAGTGTGTTCACATAAATCGCCTTAGAAAAGATTGACAATGATCCATCAATGCGAAGTAACTATTACCATATTTATCTAGTCCCAAAAACAAACCTATTTCATATTTATTGCGAATTGATTATGACTCCATAATTTGTATTAAGTGAAAAAAATCGCTCCTATTCCTACTGGTACTACAACTATAGAGTACAGATATGTCTTTCTAACGAGTACCTGATAGAACGAAACCTAGGTCAAATGGGGTTTCTTGTTGGCTTGCTTCATTCATTCGGCAACAAAGCTTAGTTCAAGTAATATTGAACTACTTAGATTAGTGATTATATCTAAACTTGATTGGTAGAATCGGATCAGTATTAAGAACTAAACAAACATGACTTCGATCACTACTCAGTGGTAAATCAATGAAAATATATCAGTCCTACAGGAAGTCTATCATGGTTAAAATAACCTAATGGTAACGTTTCAGACCATAAAGCTGAGTGACGTGAATTCGAGTCCAAAAGAGTATAGCAGTTTGCTAAGGATGGCAAGTACGCCTTAACGACGAATGCTGACTATGAAGTTCTAATTTATAATTGTTCTACTTATTAGTAATTAGTATTGATTCCTTTTATGTCACTGAACAAATTAACTTTTGGCAAACTAACTATCCTCTTATTGGTTAACACATGTCTTCGTAGATTACTTTACGGACTAATCTCAGATAAATCATAACTGAAAACCAGGAAAAACTGTATAGCTGTTTCGTTCTAGTATTGGACTCGGCATAGAGAATCAGGAACCCGCCTGCGCTGATCGAACTGAGGACCTTCGGTCTCGGATGACGATACACATTTTTTGGACAGTTAATTTGAATCTGCCATTCTTGTGCTTGGGAGCTTTGAAAGTTGACCGAATTCGGCTGCCTTATTCCAGTGAATGTGATATCGGGTGCTTAAGGCAAAGAGGCTTTTCTACCCAATTAGTTACAATCATTTACGAGTAGGAGAATCATAATCCTCACGACATTTTTTCTCAGCGATATTAAAGTTTCTTTACAATAGCGAATGAGCGGATCGATTTTCTCAAACGCTGCACGAAGTAATATGAATATCCAAAACTGTTCTGCAAAACTATCTGTCGAAATTCCGTCCGACAGAACCACTGTAATCTTAAGTGGTTTACAGCTAGGTAGATCGAGGTGACGAAGTAAATATTATCGGAAACTGAATGTAACATTATGTTGAAAATTCATGTAATATATGACATATGAGAGGACAAATGAAAAGTTTTTGAAGAACATTTCTATACCATTGCAAAGAGACCCTCAAAGAGTCTGACTTCAAAGCTTAAGAAAGATTTAAAAGGATTAAGTCAAAAAACCTTTCCTTGAATGTTCAAAAATTATGCGTACAACTTCTATTATTCCACCATTCATCTTTCAAATACATGCTTTGTCTCTTAGTTGAAAACATTCTGACGGCTCAACGAAAGCAGATAAAGTCTGCACAAAAACTGAGTTTGAAAATTCTTTATCTATTTCGTAGTTGATTTCAATAGCTGAAAAATTACCATCATAATACAAACATAGATATCTAAACGAAGAATATTCATTTTAATAAACAGGAACTGAAAAGAATTTATTTAAAAGAATGTTCTTTGTTCATGCGTCTGCGTTGTTGTTATTTAGTTATTTGATAGTACACCTTTTAGTGTGAATCGAAAAAAAGACTAACAAACATTACCAGCTCAACGTTCAACATGAAGCAATAAAAAATCCCAATCATTTCTAGGCATAAAAACTAATGAATTTAATCAGTTTAGAACTGGGACTATTCAGTAGTGCATATTCTGGATCCCAGATCCTTCGGTCTCACTTAACTTCTAGACCAGTATCTAACAGTTCGGGGTCAGTGGTCTAAATGTTAAGGATTCACTGAAAGATTCGAAAGTTCTGGGTCCAATCTCTGATGAGGCCGTGAATAGGGACGAAACAGTAGTCTGGTGCTTTATGATTTTTAACGAATATCTAACTTAATTAAGTCCACAGTATTAATGATACCCGATAATCTCTACAAATCCCTCATATTGACATTTTTTGACCATTATTATTATTATTATCATTATCATATTTATTATTACTAATAATTTACAATATTCTAGTATAAAAATAAAACAGTTAAAACATAAACAAATAAATATGATGATAAAATTTAAAAAACCTACCTGTACAATATTATAAAATATACACGTTAATGGATTAGTAGTAAGCTGATCTACTTCGAATATATCAATACCCCATAGATCAAGGGAAGTTTTTAGAATCTAAAGCAACAAAGAAAGAGGAACAAATTAAGAAAAAATTAGTTGTTATGTGAAAAAATTTATGAACAATGGAATTCAATTTGTCTACAAAAGAGAGAGAGAAAGAGCAAAATCAAACCCTTTATTTTAGAAAAAAATGTATCCATTTTTCATGAGGTGAGAAATTATGAATGTCTAGTTAAGAATTGAATTTTGATGGTTATGACAATGATGTTGATTAAATGACTAACGATCTGATAATTAACAATATGAAAGTTACTACATATATACTCATATTTTAAATGTAAAATAAACGGGATTTAAGTGTAATTGAATTGTAACTCAATAGTTTGAAGGTTAAGCATATACTGAACCACATAAAGATCTTGCATTCTACTCCTGGTGAAGTCATGACTACGTACTGCTGAGAAGTTTCAGACTAGTACGAAATAGATATTCAATTTTCGATGATCGTTTAAGTAAGTTCAGTCCATCCTATAAAACTGAATATTTAATGTTAAATCACCTGAACAGATCATTGAACTGTACTACTTACACGTACACGAAACTCTTAAAAAGAACATGATCATTAGCTAATATGATTTATTTGGTAAATATATGTTTTTGTGTTTGAGCTCAAATAATTTTATTGTGTAAGGGTAAGTGAAAACATGCGGTTGCCCATATTGAAATAAATGAAAAAGAGTTCGAACTTATAACTGACTGATATGTGTTTCAATTACAAAGCTACCACTATTCTAAATGATGAAAGCTATTTTAATGAAGGGAATTATGAGTGTCACTTATAAACTGTTTATGTTAAATTACTGTGATCATTAATTTATAGGACGCTTAAAAAACACAATAAAAATGATTTTAAGTTGATTGAACCGGACAATGTCATATACATTGTAGGTCTTTGCACCGTAAAAGCAAACAACCTTATTCATTCATAATTCTTATTTTGTTTTACGGGTTTCATTTTTGTCGTTTCAAGCGTTATTGTTGTGCATGGGAGACGTGGTGTTAAACTATCGCAAACTATTTCATTGATTCGTTAAACAAAACTCAAAGTTGTTCAGTACCTAAAGCATTGTTTACTGATTTTAAATTTTTAATGATAAGCGCATTAAGATGTATGAAAATTTTAATGAGGCACTCAAATATTTGTATAATATTATTTAAAAGGTTTTTATTATACAACGATCAGTTAAACTAAGAAAATATGTATTTAAATACCTTAATATGTCGTTATTTGATTATTTTAGGAGTTCATCAGTCCATGAAATCATGGACTGTTGAACTGAGGTATATTTGTAGGTACATATTACCTGATTGGGTTCTATATGATGATTATCACAACGAATTGTTGGAGACGTTAGGTGGCATACATGAAACATACATTAAATAGATCAATTGACTCTTAGTTTTCCCATAGATACACAGCTTCAAAACTATCCCATACTTGTTATTCGATAAATTCATATTTTCTCAAAATATATCGCCAATACCTAATCTTTTCTATGACTGATACTGTTGTTACTTCTAACATTCTCGCACCACACTGTGCTGATGTCGTATGGTAAATTGAACCGATACTCATATGTGTCAAGTTTTATTTTGCGAATAATTGACTACTTTTTTAATCATAGTGAATTGATCTTTTTTTGGGATATTAATGACAGTTTTTGTCGATAAACTACTTTATCGAAGACAAAACGATAACATAGATAAACGTGACTAGTGCTTGTATTCATGCTAAAGTAAATTGTAGTTGGATATAGGTGAATTTCTATCGTACTTTTAACGCGCGTTAGATACTGTAAATATAGTGTTTTTTGCCATAAAGTGTAAGTTGTTATCTTTTAATGTAAATTTACACGACTAAACAAAATCTGAAAATAATGGTGAGCTGTTTATCACCATTATTGATAGATTTGATTTTTAAAATCTTCAAGTCTGTTGTTTGTCTAACAAGTATGCAATCTTGTCAGTAGGAAACCTGACTCAGCCTAAACGTCGTGATAGTAAACAATCGTCAGAAATCCTTACTTGCAATCTAGAGGGAACTGATGATCTCTATGAGACTGGATTAGAGGTACACCTTACTGAAGAACATCAAAAAGCATGAAATCTAGATCCAGAGTTTTCTGCGGATTATCTCAAAATAAAATGCACGCAACGTTGATTCGTTTGAAATAGTTTGGTCACCTTGGAACTTAATCAATAGGATTCAAACAACATTGAAGGACTGGACTAAGGTGGCATTGGTGATCAACCAATTGTAATTATGCTTTATTAGCATAGTGATCTTTCGGTTTAATGGATACAAGTGATAATGGAGGATAAAGATAATGTTGATAAATATAAGTAGTGGTTAAATAGTGTAAATTAACTACTATGAAGTCGCATGACGAGTGTTTGAATCTCATAGAGAGTATCAGTTCCTTCAAGATTACAGATGCTATCTCTGACATATGCCAGATAGTATAAGACGTAGGTACAATATTTATTATCAACTACATCTAACTAACAAATAATTAAATATTGTAATTTAAGTGACGACATAACTTTAACTACACAATCATAATCCTTGATAAGATTATAAGAGTCATTTATTAAGGTGTGCTATATTACAACAAAACATATATATATAGGACTTAAATACGAAAGAACAAAAGAATAAATATGAAGACTTACATCTTCAAGTTTCTTTGGATTTGTTGAATTTATTATATATGGTACTATTTGTGTTTGTGAACAATGAATTTTTTCACATTCACTATGATGTTGATGAGATAGAGGAAGAGGTGATGTACTAGAAGGAGGATTTGACATAGTGGTGTGAGAATTTCCACTAGATTTCATCATTATATTAATATTATTATCGTCATTATTATTATTGTCATTAGTATTTTCATTTATATTCACATTACTATTCATTTTCAATGATAAAGTCGATAGTGAAGAGGATAATTTTGACAATGATTTATTCATTGTAGTAGATCCAATTGTTACAGTTGTACTATTTATTGTATGAGGAATATTACTACTGCTACTATCACCGGTCACTCCTATCGTTGTATCACCATCAATATTGTCAATCAGTGTTGTTGTTGTCGTTTGATTTATTTCACCGGGTTCAACACTTTTGAATAAATACATACCAGTTGATTCTGAATTCTTTATACTATCTGATGGTGTACATGTATTCATTTCAGAAAGATTATCATGATTATTTATCGTAATATCTTTATTTATACTATTAGACATTATTCCATGTGTATTATTATGAGATATTACAGATGAATGACTTGTAGCTGTTAATGGATCATTTTCTTTTGAATCTAAAAATGTTGAACATATATATTCGGATATTTGTTTGCCACTTTGTCCAGCATCAGCAAATTGACTTAATTCTTTATTTAACATTTTCTTAAACTATAATCAAAATAATAAAAAAATGGAACTAAATACTTTTTTTTATATAAAAAAAAGTAACACAAAACAGAATTGAACTACATGATTCACGACCTCACATCAGGCCTTCAAGAATTCATCACAAAACTAGTCAGTAATAAGTAGGCGTAATTGATAAATGTTTAATTTTTCTGAACAGTATAAGATTTGAAAAGATTTCAAAACTGATCAGAAAGAAGAGTAATCGCACTAATTAAAAATTATAACAACATATACTGTTTTTACTTAATCTTTGTAGAGTCAGGTAACCAGAAAATGGAAACAAGGTTTCGTAAACTATTAAACCTCAGGTTCAGTACAACTGGATAACTTACATAGATAACTGTTAGAGACCACAACACACTTAGGTACTGTTTCATTCTAGTATTGCATTCAGGAATGCACATCCACTCTTGCATCAGAAGTGCAACACAGAACCTTCACATTTCACAGTAAATATTTTGGAACATTGTCTTTTAATGGCTTACATCCCTAACTTTAATCATTTAGTGATATTAAAGGCTCTAGGTTTGATCCATGATGAGGTTGTGATTGTTTACTGCAAAGAGATCCTATACTAGAACGAAGCAGTTGTTGTATGGTTTCTAGTTTTCAATGGTTATCGAACATAGATCAATCTGTTTGTGACGTTAAACTTTAAATTTAGTAATAATTTTTATTTGTTCACTGATATGAACTAACTAAATAAATAAAAAACTGATAAACACTAAACAATTGAATATAGTTTATATTCTGAGATCACTTAGTAGTATATATAACCCACTAACCTAATGAATATTATTAAAGAATTTAAAACTTTTAAATCTAATGGAGTGTATAATGATAAGAGTATGAAAATGAACTTTAGATATATATATATGTATATATTCTAATGATAATTAGACTTAAATATAATATTCCGAATGATTCTTATTAATCTATAATTAAAAGAAATATCTTTGAACTTGGCTATTTATTCACATTATTAAAAAAAAAGAATAAAAGAATGATTATTTTTTTGGAAAAAAAGGTCAGGGAGACAAAAAAAAAATAAGAAAAGAGAAGGCAAGGAGAAGAAGAATAAGTTTTATTTACTTTTTATTTCTTCCCAAAACATTAAGGTAACAGTATGATATAAAGAGAAGCTAATAGAGATTTATAATGTAACTCTTAGGTTTTACGCTCAAAATTCAAATATCATATATAATGAATGGTAGAAATATCATTGTATACTCTTAAAGAAGTTCAAGATGATAATTGAAATCTGTTTTTCACTATTAAAGGAGTAAACAAGATAGTTATTGAAGATACCAAATTTATAATTGTTTTTGTGGAGATTGTATATAATAGGCAAATAAACAAGCAAAAAAAACACCATTGGATGCTGGCTCAGTGGTCTATCGGTTAAGTGCTCTGGCGCGAGACTGGTAAGTCCTGGGTTCGAATCTCGCGTGGCGAGGTTGTAGATGTGCACTGCTGATGAGTCCCACAATAAGACGAAACGGCCATCCAGTGCTTCTAGGTTTTTCATGGTGGTCTAGCTTCAATTGACTCATGATTTCAACTATGAAAAATAAAGAATATTGCTAAATCGTAACCCTAAACCTTTAATACTAAAAGAAACATTAACTTGGTGAGATTATATTTTACGGATAAACTAATCTGGTACAGCGTCTTGGAGTTTACCGTAAAAGTCATTCATTTGTATGGCTATAAAGAATTTTCTCAATATATATCTGATCTCAGTTCATTATCTTAAACTCTTAATCATCACACTAAACACCTAACCCTAGTTAAGAGCACTGGGTGGACTTTTGAAAATCTATTTGAGTCCAAATACTAGATTCGCAATGACGAGTTTATATCCCATTATTTTTTCAACTTACAGGTTGATTAACCCATAGAAGAACTTTAATAGATATAATAAATATGTAAAATGTATTTATACTTTATATTAACATTGTTTTCTTTTCCATAAACTATTCATTTACAGAAGCTACTTTTCTGATTGGCTAACAATCGGCTAAAAATTCTTCAAGATCATTTTCCCCTAGTCCGCATACTATACTATTATCTGAAATGGTCTATAAACAAAACATTTAGTAACAACTAGAGGGTATTTGAAAAATAATGGATGATAAGGTGAATAATTTGATAGGTTTTATTTTGTTGTCAGACAATTATTCGATAAAATATAATAAATATTAAGAGTTTGGATTATCCTATCAGTTACATTAAACTAGTGAGTCACAAATAGGACGAAACATACTTCCTGGGTTCCACTTCTAGTCATAAATCCATTTAGTGTTACATATAAAACTTAGTGACACATCCAAAATTATATGAAACCTAGGGTCTAGCAGGACTTTCTGCCGACAACCTCCAATCACCTGACATCAACACTGTAATAGTTGGAAGACTATGAACATTAAGAGACCCAACTACTGAAATTCACAATATCTGGTCGATTTGAAACAAACATACTGAGCTGTTTACAACTATAACTCTTATCAAAGTTAAAAATACAGAAAGCTATACTGACCAAGTGGCCATATCAAAACAGCACGCCAGGGTCGAAATGATACAATAGTAAGAATAATGAGAAAGACTGAACATTCAGACAAGATTATTTTGAAGTGAGAAAGTAGGAGGGAATTACAAAAAACATACATTTGCGAGGGAAAAGGTAAGCAGAGATTTTATTTACGTCTTTTTGATATTTTTACTGTTAGTTGTATAACTTTTATTCGCTTGTTTTTTATCGACTACTCGAATAGTAAATTTGATACACAATGAAAAGATACTAAAAAAGTTCACTCTGTTAATTTTTTAATAGGAATACAAGAAAGCTGAATCGATGTTTGCAAATACTTTTGTTATATTTATTATTTTTTTAGACTCAAAGCTTAACTAATTATATAAGTGAACTACAAGACTAGAAGAAACAACAGTTTTTAAATCTTAGTAGGCAACTGGAACATTGTTGATACAAAAGTATGTAAGAGATTCGTATTAGAATCATAAACCGACTTGGAAGCGTTCGATAGCCGTCTAGTCCTAGTATAAGAATCTTCAACAGCCTGACTCCACGATCCAGCACCTGTAGTGTCGGTTGCTATGTTAAGCCCATATACCTTATTCTAGCTTCTGGACAGGTCAAGTGATCCATTCTTCTTGAGTTACGTTTCGACCTTGTTATTTATTCACTTATCAACTTTGACTGTTTATATATGAGCGTACATGTGTACACTTCTTATTCTATTCATCACATGTCTGTAACCTATTATTATCTGGCTATAAGTATTGATTAAATGGCTCCGCGTGTGGGCCCCTAAGAAAACCACCTGCTTAAGTTTGGGCACCTGGGCAGTATCACAGCCCTTAAGCAAATCGAATGACATTTGTATGGCGCATATTTATCTGGTGCTTCCTTGTACCAATATTTATGTGTTTAAATAAATAAATAAATAAATGGAGTTGGCTTACACGTTTTCTCCACCATGCGTCATTTCGCTTCGCGCTTTTCTATGCACTTCATCTCTCTGATTTCCTGTTCAGATCAGTGAGTGTACAAAATATATGTATTTAAAAATCCATTCTCGTATTTGACTTATTTAATTCCGTTGTTCATTAACGTGGATTAAGTCGATGATTATATTCAAGGATAGATTTAATTGAAGTCAGATAAAGGGCCACAAACCGACGACTTTTTTTCGTATGCGAAAGTTTAACCTCTAGACTACTAAGACGACATCTGACGGTGTTATTGTTTAACCTCGTTTAATACATAGCATTGTGCGACCACCTTCCATTGTATTCGGTGGTGACTGCCTCGGGCCTGATACAGTTGAACGCCACTGGTCACAGCTTCTCACTTGTACTACGGGAATTTTCTCTCAAAACTAGTCATTAGTGAGCACATGATAATTTTAAGTGAAAGGTTATGGAGATTGTTGAATTTCACTGAAATGATTAACTGATCTAAGTTAGACCACCATTGAAAACTTAGAATCACTGGACTATCATCTCGTCCTAGTATGGTTAGCAATAAAATTCAGCAATCTCCACAACAAATACTGTAAAAGATTTGTATTTAGTTGATCCTAGCTTATGAGCAGACAAAGTAATGACAGCCGTTCACAAAACCTAAATCGACAGACTGTTCCAGATTGTCTACTATCGTCTAATGTCGAAGCACTATGTAAGTGGGGTCGTTTAGGCTAGCGAATCTAGTAAAACTAACAACATCAGTTATAAGTTAAAAGTCAGTCATTTCTACAGAAGATCAGTTACAGCTTGTAAAGCTCAGTGTTAATGTCACAAATGATGATTATGGGTGATGAGATGTTTGGAACTCATGAGATACAACAGTGTACCTTCAAGACTCTGTATAAATCTTGATGATGATTGTCAACAACAATTCAGAACTTCTTGTCAATCGCTCGTTTCTAACCACTTAACACATATTTTCCATTTCTACAGTAAAATATCATCAACTCTTAAACAATCTCTATCATTAAAAAATATCAAATCATCAAGATCACTTATCATACGTTTAAAATTGTTTTGTTTTGTTTTCATTAAAACGTTAACTTATCTATCTCTACTTTGGTCTCAACAGTTCAACCGTTTTTCTTTATAAGTTGACATCATTTGTTTAGTGTTTGTGTGTTTAGTAAATTACTTCTACAGATAGTGTATTTCTAAATGTAAAAGTGATAGAGAAAAAGTCTATCTAAAATAAGTTTTGAAAAAACAGTAACCGTTTGATTTAAAACTTAGATTGAAACAAAGGTAAACTCTTCCTTAAAAAAAAGGAAACGTACATAAGGAAAGGAATTTTGTGTTGGTAACATATAAAAACTCTATTTATGCACAACAATTGTGGTGTTAATTTATGTGAAGTATGAATAAGAATTTAAACAAAGGTATTTCAAACCAAATAGAATATGGTAGAGGTGAACTGTGGCTAAAAGTGAAGTTCAGGACGCTTGTTTCTCTCTATTTGAGGCTCGTTAGATGAATATGCCTGAGTCCTAGTGTTGGTGTTCACAACAAAACTTCAACCAAGTAGCTATCTCTTCAAACGTCGGAAGTGTTATCTACTGAACTTCTGATTCCATATTCCAGGTATGCGTAGCCGACGAGTTTCAAATAGTACGAAGCGAGGGTACTGTATTGCACTGATAATGAAAATGTGTCTGTTTAAAAAAGTATATGTGACATGATGGCTATGCCAAGGCAATAAATATATTCCATCATAGACATATCGAAACTTAGTCGTGAATATTATTAACGGGATAATTCAAACCCTTGCAAATTAAACTACAAGAAATATAATTTATAATTTTCATTAAAATAGTCGGAGTTTTGTTGAAATTTGGCAACAGTGAGTCTCATACACAGGAATTGTTTCACGGTCTGTAAATTTAAGACTTCGCAACACTAAGAATAGACAGATAACTTTTCTGAACATACTTGGATTAGTTTGGCTTCTTTATAGTAACCACTGTTAGTGCAGTAGGAGTGATCTGAATTTATGACAGGAATGTAGAAAAATTCCTCTAAATGTACTGGTTGTTCAAAGACGAAATCGCATATCAGAACTGCCCCGAGGACTGACGTAGCCATTGCTAGTACTCAGATGCTTCAGAGTCTTCTACTATGATCAGTAAACCCAAGTGAGATTTATCAATTTTTTTAATAATCAACGACAATGAATAGACTTGTTAACATAAGTGACCTTTGATCTTAGCTGCTACTTTAACGTGGTAGCTTGGATGTTCAATTAAGGCTGTATTGGGTGGAACAGTCGTTCTTTAAGGTATTTCAATGCTAGGAAGGTCGGGTGAAAAGTGATATGACAAAGATCAGAAAAACGCTGGATGTATATGGGTATGATGGTTCAGAAAGTACATTTTTATATACCAGAACCTCAGGCGGAGATGTTTTCCAACGGCAGGAAGAGAAGTATGTGAAAGGGTGACTTCAAAAGTAGCAAACCTTACATTCCTTCATGGATTTACGTCACCAGAGGTAAGATATAAAAGTCATAGAGTTAACACATATAAATTACCTTGCAAATAGGCCATGTGTGACTTGCTTTAGGTAGTTGTATTATAAGGTTTGAGATTAGGACTATACCAAGCCTAGTATTTGCCTTAGGTACCGTTTCAGGGTGTGGACAATCAAGAAGTTGATATGCGAAACAGTGACTTAATCGATTGGAGTCCGAATGACATATGAAATTGACTGTTTTTCCAATCGTCTGTGATGTGCGATCACATCCTGAGGAGTCACTATGTACCTTAGTCAATTATATATATATAATTATTATTTTATTCATCTAAACACATAAATATTAGTACAAGGAGGCATCAAATTTAGATGCGCCATACTTTTTTATTCGATTTATGTGAGGGCTGGAATACTGCCCGGGTGCCCAGACCGAAGCAAAAGATGTTAAATACTACATAGTTCAAATTATACAAATCTTACTGTTTAATTATAAATAAATCAAATACGAAGTAGTATATTAGTATATCATTCCGATTACTTTAGACAGTCAAATAAATAATTATTTACTGTCTTTATGTTCTAACTTGTGTCATTCGATTCACGGTTTTCCGGTATCAAGTACCGAGTCAGTTAAGGAATTTTCGTGACTATAACATAAGTGATAAAAACCTTCATAACTCTAATAGCACTTGAAACTACCTTCTTCACAAATAAATCTCTTTTTGTAATTAACGAAAGGTTTACGTAATACAGATAAATTATTCACATTACTCATTAGCAATATATCGAATTCTTAATTATATCTTTCTGTTCGACATAATATCTTAGGCATGGTAATAGAGTTTAAAATAAAAACATCGCTTATAACAAAACCATCATCATGACAATTATTGTTTGGGGTTAAAAGGAAAATAATTCTATCAATATATACATCTTATTTTTTTAGAAGGGGATTTGTGGAGATTTCAGTATTTTTCAAAGTTGAAATCATGAGTCAATTGAAGCTAGACCACCATGGAAAACCTGGAAGCACTGGACGGCCGTTTCGTCCTATTATGGGACTCCACGAACCCGCTCTCGCGAGATTCGAACCCAGGACCTACCAGTCTCGCGCCAGAGCACTTAACCGATAGACCACTGAGCTGGCATCCAACATCTTATGAATATATATTTGCAAATAAACATATTTAGAATGTTTATCAAACGATTCAATTGATACACTAGAATCTACAGGCAAACTTTTTATAGTTCAACACATCATATCACTTAAATGTACAGCTTTCTGCTTTTTACCCTTCATCTATATGTAATGAAATTCCACTTCACTAAATTGAATTAACATCATTCATATGTGATAAGAGTTATATAAAAGTGTCAAGTGAAAATATAAACAAATGTTAAAACATGCGCATACACACACACAAACAAAATGATACGTCAAATCAAAGTAAATAGTAATTGGTCAACGAACGAACACAGACATGAATAATAAAGGACTATTTTATATATGCATTCGAGTTCACTTCTATTCTTTACTTAACCATGCTTGTCAACTATTTTGTCATTTAAATAAAAATAATGATATATTTGTAATTTGTAAAATTAAATGTTCTGATGTTTCGTGACTCAGTGTAAGCTACTTCTTCAGAGAACAAATAATCAAATTAAATGAACCCAAGTTTAAATAGTTCAAACGAACAAAGAAAGAATATCAGGTGCGATCAATCCAAAACAGGTCTGACGAAGTCAATATCATGTGATGCCAGTCAAGGTGATTTATATGATATATATATATATATATATATATATATATATATAGTGAGAAAAGATAGATTGACATGATGTTGTTTACTTATGTCCTCCTATTGCTATTTAGGACTACAATTGATCAGTCTCTTGTTGACATATGTGCATCCTATGCGGAATGCCTCGATATTGCCTGGAGTCACAAGCTTTATAATCAATAGTGGCTACTGGCTGGCAGTGGAATCCAGGACTCACGTCTCATCCTATTTGAGACTCGTTAACTGGATGTACCTTGATCCTAGGCAATATTGAGGCAATCCTCACAGGATGTACATATGTCGACAAGAGACTGATCAATCGCATCCCTAAACATCAATGAGGAGATAAAATAAACAACACCAAGTGAATATAATTTTACCCCGTTGTATAAGCAGGTTGCTATCAGGACTCAGTAGCTAAGTGGATAATGCGATGGCGTTTTAAGCGAACGGTGCTAGGTTCGAGTCCCAGAGTGAACACCAACTCTGAAATACAGGTACATCCAGCTGATGAGTACCAAATAGGATGAAACGCACGTCCTGGATTCCACTGCCAGCCACTATCCATCTTTGCTGAGAAGCGATAGAATTTAGTTTGTATGTACGATAATAGTGTGACTTGTAATGTGTTACTAAACTCTTATTTTGACTTGAATATCTGAATTTTTGATCATTCATCAGATAATTGAATCTAATGCATCTAGCGATCAGTCTTTGTGATTCATTAATCAAATGCCTACCGCAATTTAGCGTTTTATAGGAGATTGTGAACCCTGAAACTCTTTTTTCCCGCATTTTAACAAAGAAAAAAAATCAAAATACCCGTTAAAATTATTAACAAATTAATGAAACAGCAAGATAGTATTAACTTACTTTACTCGATGCCATATCGCTAACAGATCGATGAGTTTGTATATTTTCTAATCTTTCTAAACACCATTCAAGTTCTTCCAATGTTTCACTGGCTGTTATCTTATTTTGTCCGCTACCACTACAACCTTATTTATTGTTTCATAAATATTTTTTTTTTAAAGAAAACAGAAAACAAAAAAAAAACGGAAGGAAAATGAGACAAAATATCAAGTTGTTCTTTGTCTACAAAAAATGAGAAAAATAAATTGTTTAGTTACTTTCAATGAACAAAGATGATATATATTTATGAACAGCTAAACGGAAAACAGTAAGGATTAGTGTAACTAAACAAAATAAAAACGTATAATTCTCTCCAATTAGTAGAATTTTTTGACAAGATTGATTGATTATAAACTACTTTTTTTATTATTATTCAGTAGTCTATCTTAACATGAAGAATGAAAGGATATGCATTTTTAATATAATGAGAAAACTGGAATAATTATGTTTTTGTTAAAGCTCAATGATATAGATAAAAGTATACTATGCTAACTAATCTATCAGATATAAGGTATCAGATTTTGTATTTTTGAGGAATATTTGAAATCCAGTGACAGATAACCTGTATCGAAGAAAAAACTGAAGTAAATAATACCAATATTTATTTCCTTAAATGCCTAACATTGATAAACATAGGAAGATTAAGCAATGGAGATCATGATTTATAAATTTGTAAGGGTAACTCAAAGGTGGTTGAAATAATGAAAAACTTTATAAACGTTCACATACATTAAGCTACAAGAAAGTTCATCTACTCGTTTTTTATTGATTACTCTTAGCCTCTGACGGCATATCTTGACAGTAACTTTGATTTCTAAGTTTACCTTAAAATGATAACCCTAAGTCTTTATACATCCCCCAAATGCCCTGGTGCGGCCGAGGGATGGAAAAATCAGCTCTCCCTCTCGAAATACTCTCACATGACCACTTGTATACAACTGCTTCCACGGAAATTCTACTCACTGCCTTCTCGTGGCGGAGTGTTATCTACGAAATTAAGAGGACGAAAAGCGAATGTACGGCGCTTTAATCGGGATGGTGGATACGGAGGTTCCACCTAGGGGAGTAAGAAAACCTTGATCGCTAACCAATGGTGCACATGGGCTCCGGGATCCTAAGGAGACCAATGGCATATGAACCCATTGTTGGTCACCGGCCACCATGGGATTGCATCTCCTGACGTTACTCCACTATCTTGTGAATCGGACCTTCATGTCGAAGCCTCGGGGAGTGGCTCCCGCTTCGGTTTGGACACCTTGGTAGTATTCAAGATCTCACACAAATTGAATGATTTATGTGGCGCATATTTAATTGATGCCCAATGTACCAATGTCTATGTGTTTAAATAAATAAACAAAATAGATAAATCGTTGCACTTTATCTTAATTCAAATCTTAACAACTAATCCTAATCACCTCCTATCCTCAAATCTCGATGGTACTTCAAGTTCTAGCATTAAATGTAAACTCCTAAATCTCAGCCAAAGCTGAGAGACATTAGTGACTTTTATGTAATAAATGATTTATCGAAATCACCTGAATTATAACTGTATTGTGGTACGTGTTACTGATATTGACAGATATAAGTAGTATGTATCATCAATGGAAATTGAAATGCCTGGAGGTAGAAGATTAAGAGGATCAAAGAAGAGAGAACAAGAACAGAGAATGATTGGTGTGGAAACGAAAGAACAATGAAATCTGAGATGATTGACTGTTACTTGCAAAAGTTCCAGTGAAGCTTGAGACGATTGATTGACATTTTGCAAAATGAAGTATTTACTGTATGGTTTTAAGATTTTACTAAGATATTCTGTAATTTTATATTCAAACACATTCGATTGTTCCTCTTGTGTTCTCGTCCATTACAGCATAAGCTCAAAAAGACAGCCAATATAAAGCAATTTCACCGTGATATGCTTTAAAAACTAGTTCTGAAATAACCATCGAGTCACTAAAACCTGACCAATACATTTTCTTCTCTTTTAATCTAGGAAAAAACAATTTTATTTTTATAAATGTCTAAATATTGGTTTAAATTCTGTAGGCGATCATGACATTTACAAGTATTTCTGGAATTTCAATTTTGTTCGAATAATGATCGAAAACTATGTATGAAAAAGTTTTAGAGAATATAGAAATATTTATATCTACGAGCGATGGAGCCGAGAAAAGTAGTAAATAGCACTGACTATTAAAAAACCTCATTCACTTAGCCAAATTTATAAACCCCAGTTCAAGATTATTCATTTGGTCTGATATAGATTGAATTTACGAATTGTTGCACCGTACCGTGAATTGATTGAACTTGAGATCATATCATTCAACATTGACCCAACCTTTCTAATGATTAGGCATTCTCCTGGAAGCTCTGAGTTCGATCCCTGGTGGACTTATGGGAGTATACTACTAAGGAGTTCCATGCTGAAGTGAAACAGCTGTCTACCACTTCTTTTAGCACTACCGTAACTGTGGTCAGTCTATGGCATATATAACATAAGAATATCGTCCAATTAAAGCTGAAAATTAATATGATTGAAGTACTTACCTAGGTGTGAAGAACTATTTGCATCTTCGGCAGATTGTATCGGTTGAACAGCTCCAAATCGTGAACTAAAAAAATAAAGGCAATTTAAAGAAAAATTAAGTTTTTTGAATTTACACTAGTAATTTGTTAAACGTGTATTGAGCATCTCTTTAATTATGCTTCCCTAGAATAGGTTTAAGAGCTCTGTTGATTATGGATTTCGCGTACAAAATGTTCATTGAGAAATTTTTCCCCTCCTAGTTAATTTTAGATATTTGCCACAAAAGAGTAGTGTGAATAATTAGTGGCCTTATACTTAATAATTTTTTGATTAGTTTAAACAGTATTTCGTTAAAATAATGTAAACTGTTAAAATGGTAATTTCAGAGTTGCATTTCAATTATTTGGAAACATATCGACTATCCGAAGTTATATGATGAGTGTGGAAATGAGGCATAGTAAACAAATGTATTACTAATTAAGTAAAATAACCACCAAGTTTATATTATGTGTTTCATTTTAGTAAACTATAAACTTGACAATAGGTAATTCTACGTAGCTTGTTTTTATACTTAGTGTGGTTTATAAGCCAAATACTAGAAACACATGTAAGTTTTTTTGTATTGTTGGATTCTCTGAGTTAGATGGCCATATTCTGAAGCTGTCACTGTTGTTTTGAGCACCACCTTCGGTGGTTACTTCATGTAGAATTGAGTTTTTTTATTTCACAGCCATGAGTCAGGTTGTACTGGTAACATAATTTGTGACTAGTTATTTTTGTATGTTTTAATGTAAAGTAGTAGTACGAGTAGTATCAATATTAGTATTAGTAGTAGTAATATATAAAAGAGTAGGTCATTTTATCAAATTTAATGATGGTTTTCAGCAATAATTTTATGATATTTGATATTTAAACCAAACCTCAATGTAAAACATATCAGGACTCTGTATTATTAGTACTCCCAAGAATCTTTTGACAACTAATATTGCATAGATTTGTTAAAAAACTTCTATTGACATTGGTTATGTTTATAAGCTCAAAAAAATACCTAACTGTCAACTAATATGTCAAAATTTCATCCAGACTACTTTAGCTTAATGAATACCTAATAATTTGTTACTGAAATAATGGTATTGATAAGTTTAAAAATTTTGACGATTTCTTCAGTCACTATTCCTTTCTATACAATAGTTATTTGGGAAAACTGACTTGGAACAATAAAGAATTCATATTGTATAAAACCAAATAACTCAGCAGAAACGTTTCTGGTTATAAGTATGGTTAAAATGATGAAATTCAAATTAGAATTCCAAGTTTCATTATTACTAAATCATACTAAATACATGTTTTTCTAGAAGTATATTGGGACTCAGTTGAATAAGATTTCCAGGAATCAATAAGTTCCAAAACAGTGTATAGTTGTTGATAGAAAGATGTCCCTATCAGTGTAAACACTTAATTTTTACTCCAGACTTGAATTTAAAACCATCAATTCAAACAAATAATTGATTTTTGCAAAGAAAATGTATTACTTAGGCAACATGACAGTTCCATATGATTTTTCAGATAATTTTTTGTTCATTAACTTAATAATCAGAGTACAGATATATGTGCTCAACTCCGAGCTACAGTTTAAGTGTATGGGTGAGTGATACTATCTGGTACTTGAGATCAAAGTGAAGAGAGGTTTCGAACCTGGCACTTGGCGTCGAAAGTTCGATGAGTTAATCATGAACTCAACACTCTAATTGTTTTGACAAAAATGCTAGAAAAACAGATTAAGTCATATCACATGATACTTGTATTTTTCGTAAATGGAAGGCAATCTTAAATAATATTGAAAGAGGCATTCATCTATATAATAGTTTTTTGAATATGTTCATTGGATTGACTAAAATCTAACCTGTTGGTTGATCTAGATTCCATGATATTTAGCACTCGTCAGCAGGCAGATACCTTAAGCCCTTAGGAAACTAGTACTCCCTGATTGATTTAGACCCTCTTCACACCGCCTTACAGTCTGAATCACCACTTAGCTATTCGGTGATCAGCCAATTGTAGGTGTCTCAGTTCTATTGGTCAGTAGCTGTCCGAATAGCTCAGTTGTACACTAAAGCTGACTGGTGTTTGTTCAGATTCACCAGGAAGCAACAATCTCTCCAAGATTGCAAGTATGCCCTACTGACGAGAACTAAATAGCAAAGTTATAAAGTTGCTCTTTTTAAAAAAAAAGGTTTCCTGTTGACTATCTCTGACCATCTAACATCAAGCACTAGTACATTCTATGTTAGATCATCTAGACAAGTGGTCACAATTCAACTTCATTGATAGGATTCGATTAGCATCAAAAGAACTGGTTAAATATGACATTTTTAGCTATTCAGCTATAAATCAATTGTAAATTAGATTTCATGCTGAAAATATTTTGATACAGAACAATAAATAAACTGATAGTTTAATTGCCATATTCATTGATTCGTTCAAATTTTAATGACCTGCTAGTAACATCAGTCATCATCAAAGAGATATACTACTTATCAACAAAGTATATTTGAATGATATTTTTCATTCATTAGGAGGAATATTACATTCTGTGTAATAAGTGAAATGAAAGAATAATATTTTTTTCATAATGAACTGATTATAAATTCTCATCCTTTTGCTTCTCATATTGAATATCAGCATGAACAACAAAAATTTAGATAAAATCCAATCTACAGTTGCTATAGTAATTAAAATTTTAAAAAAAAGCATACATGTGAAATTGATTCTGTTGTTTGTGTCCAACTAACACCCCCGCTGTTCTATATGAAATGAGGAAATTTTATTTACATTAGAAGGTAAAAAATTTAAGTTAATCTCTGTTTTCCTTTATTTCTCTTTCTCTCTTTCGAAATATTCCATCATTTTATAATAGAAGGTGAGAAAGTTTTTTTTGATAATTTTAATGAGTAGTCCAATCGGTAATTATTACTATCGATTATCATCAATTGATTTAATTTTTTAAGATCACTGAAACGTGATCACAGAAGGGTTTAGTGAAGTGAAAGATAGACGATGCAAATCAATCATATTTTTTATTCAATTTATTATAAATTCACTTCCTTTGTCACTATCATACAAATTCCTACTTGTTCAAACTTTTCATTACAACAGAAAAGGGTCATATGAGTAAGTTGAATCTAAAGCCTTTTTGATTACAAAGTAGTTGATTGTTCTTCACGTTTGTTGGTTGTGACAATATTCATTGATGACGGTAAAAGATGGTAGATATGTTTGTTTGCAGTTGGAAAGCGTTTTACAGGAGGTCAGTAGCAGTCAGAGTAGTTCAGTGGTAAAGTTTCATACTTTAAAGCTGAGTGGTTTTTGTTTAGATCTATCAGAGAGTGATAGTTCCTTCAGTATTGAAGGCATGCTTTGCAGACGAGTGCCAGTTGGTACAAAAAGAAGTTTCAAAATTTTCTAGTGACTGATTCCGACCAATAAACATCAGGTGGATATGGAGGATCTATCTAGGGGAGTTGGAGAACCGTGGCTCCAAATCAGTAGTGCACATGGGCTCTAGGGTCCTGAGGGAAAAAATGGTGTATGGACCAATTACTGATCACTGGCTACCATGTGACTGCATCTCATAATATTGTTCCACTGTTTTGTGGACTAGACCTTTAGGTCGAAGGCTCCGGGTATGTCTTCCTAAGAAAACCATCTGCCTCGATTTAAGCATTCGAGAATTATCACAGCTCTCACATAAATCCATGGTAACTACTACTGACCTCATTGATATTGTGTGGAGTATATGCAATTGGTGCCTCAATCTACTAATATTTATGTGTTAAAATGAATAAATAAACTGAACACTAGAACATAGTATATTCGATGTTAAGTCACTTATACAAGTGGCCGAATTTCAACTAGATTGATAGAATTCGATTAGCATTAAAAGTACCAGACAAATGTGACATTGGTCATTGTCCAGTGATCAATTATAAATATTCAATGTATTGTTACCATACTAAATTAATATGAATAGTATTAAAGATAGTTATGTAATCACCACGCAAAGCTTTTTTCAATGCTTTACCGCAAAATTGTTTTTAAAGGAAAAAAAGTAAAAATATTTCCAGTTGAACGTTAGGGTCAGAAATTATATTTAATGTTTCCATCAAGAACTAAGATCAGCTATAACGTTTAAATGGTATTTAATCACATGAGTGTATGAATTTCGCACCAAAATCTAAGACCTGCTATCTGATTGGTTCTTTCATAAATTATAATCTTGCCTATTTGACTTTTGACCAACTTCCTATTTTACGACTGCATTCTATTTTTCCATGTTTAAGCTCTCTCTTCTTTTCTGTTATTTTAGTCAGGCATAGATATGTCCTAAGGATATTATTCACAATTAACTGGTTGATACAGTTACGTAACTTTGGTGCTGCAAAGTAGAATACTATCTGAAGAGAATTTTATTCATAAAATGAACATCAAAGTTGTTCAACTTTTAAAAGAAAAGTTTATAAATTATTTAGTAAATTATACCTTGCATTACACAGTGATGACTATAAACTAGTATTTGGAAAATCTTCAGATAAAATGAACAGAGAACCTCATCGAAAATTCCAAGTGAATCAGGTCGTAAAATTGATTATGGTATTTCAGTACCCAGTTAATAAATAGTAAACGTAATAATAGTAGTAACAAGAATAATGATAACTATACATTTTTTTAAAGTGAAGAATTCTCAGCACCAATTATTTGAAAACATATTTTTATAAAGGTTTTAAAAGGTCTCTTCCAGCCGTAGATGGAATTAGGAAAATACGTTGGAAGTGGATAAGACATACATTGATGAGATCACCAAACTGCATCACAAGGCAAGCTCTAACTTGGAATCCGGAAGAGAAACAGAATAGACAAAGGTCATAGAACACACTGAGTCGCGAATTGAAAACAGACATGAAAAGGAGGAATTGCAATTGGGAAGGATTGTTCAAGACAGAGTTGGATGAGGAATGCTGTTGAGAGGCCTATGCTCCTCCACGAGGAGTAACAGGCGTAAGTAAGTAAGTTTAAAAAGTCTATATC